AGAGATTTTTATTGTGATTGTCTCCCTTGTTAGATAGACACAGTTTGTTGGATGTTATTTTTACAACTAGGTAAGTTAAAACAATATCTAGTAACTGATCAAATGTTCCCAGACTTATTCTATTTATATACTCCGACTCTTACTATTGAACAATTTATAAAAGAACATTTTCTGAACATGCCTGTCTCTACAGATGGGAACATTTCATTTAATGTTTTTGTTGTTGTTACTGTCTTTTGTCGTTGTCTTTTGAGTCTAACGACAGAGCAGAGTCTTGTGGGTTTCTGTAGATACATCATACAATACATAGATACCTGGGCTTGTATATAGCCAGTAAGTCTGCTCATTTCTACTCTGAGTTACAAAATGAAAGTAGAACTCTTCTGATTGGTTGTGAAGGCCTTATTTTCAATATCATTTACCGTTTTCTCCTGTAAAGACGAAAGATAAAAAAAAAACTTGTATCGACAAAATTCCAAAATGGATGTGTGTTATGATGATAAGAAAGGGTTGGAATTGTTTACAGAATTTATATTAAAATGCTATATTAGTTAAACCTGAAACAGTACTTTAATGCATGCCTTTTATCTCGTTAGACAATTAATTGAATGAATGGTCTGAAGAGCCAACAGCACAGAATTGTGACTTTGTTGAAATATTAGGTTAAGACCATAATGGTGTATTTGAGTGAATTCTTTACTTGAAATTTAGAAAGCTAGCACCAGCACACATTCCTTTTTTTTTTTATTATTTTCTTTTTAATCTTATGTGACTTAACCTGTTTAAAGAACAAATGACACTCCTTATGTTTATGGGTTTGGAGTCGGGGAGGGAGGGGAATGTCTAGGTTGCAAGCAATACCCTATTCCCAGAAGATACACAAAAACAGAAAAGCGCTTATTTGATTATACATGTTTTCAGTGTCTATATGGAATAAAACGTTATTTAGCAAGCAAGACAAAGTGGAGTTTTTTTTTCATAATTACCCTTACTCTATGTTATTGTCGGTAAGTTCTCCAAAAATTTTCGATCACGAGCTATAAACAATTTTGTATAAATTATCCCATATTGTCTTCAGTGTGATTCAAGTGAACTTTAAAGAACTTCTGGCTGGGTTTTGTGACTGGATAAAAGTGTACTTTCTGGAACATCTCATTGGGTTTTGTGACTGGAGAAAGTGTACTTTCTGGAACTTCTCGTTGGGTTTTGTGACTGGAGAAAGTGCACTTTCTGGAACTTCTGGCTGGGTTTTGTGACTGGAGAAAGTGTACTTTCTGGAACTTCTCGTTGGGTTTTGTGACTGGAGAAAGGAACTTCTGGCTGGGTTTTGTGACTGGAGAAAGTGTACTTTCTGGAACTTCTCGTTTGGTTTTGTGACTGGAGAAAGTGTACTTTCTGGAACTTCTGGCTGGGTTTTGTGACTGGAGAAAGTGTACTTTCTGGAACTTCTCGTTGGGTTTTGTGACTGGAGAAAGTGTACTTTCTGGAACTTCTGGCTGGGTTTTGTGACTGGAGAAAGTGCACTTTCTCGAACTTCTGGCTGGGTTTTGTGACTGGAGAAAGTGTACTTTCTGGAACTTCTGGCTGGGTTTTGTGACTGGAGAAAGTGTACTTTCTGGAACTTCTCGTTTGGTTTTGTGACTGGAGAAAGTGTACTTTCTGGAACTTCTGGCTGGGTTTTGTGACTGAAGAAAGTGTACTTTCTGGAACTTCTGGCTGGGTTTTGTGACTGAAGAAAGTGTACTTTCTGGAACTTCTCGTTGGGCTTTGTGACTGGAGAAAGTGTACTTTCTGGAACTTCTCGTTTGGTTTTGTGACTGGAGAAAGTGTACTTTCTGGAATATCTAGTTGGGTTTTGTGACTGAAGATCCTTAAACAGTTTCCTTAGTGAAGTACACATTCCAAGCAGGAAGATGCATAACCACCACGTACTCTGTTTTTGATTTATTCTGTCATTTATGCATCACAGTGAGATGGTGTCATAAGTCATGCATGCTGATAAATAATGAAAAATGGCCTTTGTACCAAACCAGAAAGCTCAGTATTGATTTTAAGAGTACAATTTACAAGCTTTGAGATTTCGTTTAACACACAGTGTGACAGATAGTATATACTTACCTCACACTGATCTACACAATATTATATCACGAAATATGCTTTGTTTTCTTTACACATATGTATACCAGTATATCATCAAACCAAATTCAGGATTTTAATTAGAAATATATAGAAGTGATTCAAACTTCTTCCCTAGGATTTTACTTCTATTGTTAAAATACCACATTTTTATATCATAAGTACATATATTTAGAGGTTAAACATGAGTCTGGGAAACTGGGATATTAGTTTTAAAGTCTAAGCTATACCTGGATTGATACCTAGTTGATATCTAATTGATATCTGGTTGATATTTGTTCAATATCTGGTCAATACCTAGTTGATATCTAATTGAAATCTGGTTGATATTTGTTCAATATCTGGTCGATACCTAATTGATATCTAATTGATATCTGGTTGATATTTGTTCAAAATCTGGTCGATACCTAGTTGATATCTAATTGATATCTGGTTGATATTTGTTCAATATCTGGTCAATACCTAATTGATATCTAATTGATATCTGGTTGATATTTGTTCAATATCTGGTCGATACCTAGTTGATATCTAATTGATATCTGGTTGATATTTGTTCAATATCCGGTCGATGGCTAGTTAGTATCTGGTTGATATCTTGTGGAGACTGAAGAAAAGTATGATATCAAAATAATTTTAGAAAAAATAAAAAGTAAAGTCGCCAGATGTACATTGCATGTGCTGTAATCAGGAACATTTGTACGCATTTCTAGACAAATATCCAGAACCCGGATGATGTGGTACCCACCTACGTGAGAGAGAGAGAGAAAAAAAACTGCGTATCAGTGGAGACACTGATAAGAAAACACAAATTGATATCAATCTTCTACATCATAGGGGGGGGGGGGGGGAGGTCGAGAGGGGGAGGTCTATCACCAGAAACAACAGTTTTACAAAATACTGTATTTATCTGGCATATTGTTGTTTATACAAACTGTACAGAAGTGATGTTTCATTGATCTGGATATGGTATAGAGTTTAAATGGTGATTTTCATTTCAGTAATAAAAATCATAATGTAAGTATGCACATTGTCCACTAATTCCCAGTCATTTGTATTTCATGTAAGCCTATTAAACCTCCTTTAGGGAGCCCCTCTGCCTGCTTATTGTACCTACTCATGACCAGAAATACTTCATTCTATATCGATGTCGCTGAGCTGGGTTGACGTTTTCAGCTAGAATTGTCTACTCTGCTTAGGAGCTTTGGCCTGGTCAGACCTAGAATTGTACAGTTTGCCCCTCACTGGAATCTAGCATTCGTGCTTGGTTGTTTCTGTCCATCAGGGTAAGCAACATATCACTGCTCAGTTCTTCTCTAGATGGATCCATGAGGTGATTTCAGGTCAGGGCTCTGCTCACTTCCACTCCATTGAGAGGATCCATGGGTGATTTCAGGTCAGGGCTCTTGCTACGTCTTCAGCTCTCCTTTCAGGCTCTTCCTTTCAGGAGTTCATGTCTGATGCCTTTTGACAAGGACAGACCACCTTTACTGACTTTTACTTGAGATCTTTGGCTTCAGTTTCTGATGACTTTTTTCTCTTGGTCGTTTGGTTGTGGCATGGTCGATGACTGTTCCTCTATCTGTTAGTCAGTAGTATGCATCACATCCCAGGTTGTCTGTCCAGGGACAATGTTTTTACACATTCCAAGCAGGAAGATGTACAGCCACGACATCCTCAGTTTTGATTTATTTTGTCATTTTATACATCACAGTGAGATGGTGTCATAAGTCATGCATGTTGATAAGTAATGAAAAATGGCCTTTGTACCAAACCAGAAAGCTCAGTATTGATTTTAATAGAAGTTTACCTTTGAGTGTGACATATCTTGTGTTTTTTTCTTTTTTTTTTCAATTTTTCCCCTTGGTTACTATTTATGCCCTTCTTACTGCCCTGTATTGTATCTGGTGCTGGGATCAGAGAGGCTCCTCTATGGTTAGACAAATTCACTTACGAAGGTTATGGTAATTATTACTGAAATGAAATTGAGATTTTTCTTGTAATGCCAATTTTCATGATGTAATACTTACCATAACTTTATTGAGTCCTTTCCTGTTTGTTTGAAAATTTTTGCCTCCCCTTTCCTCTCCATGCTACCCTTTTTTGTGGCAGTAGTGACATAAGGACATATTTTCGGTTGTGAGTAGGTACGACAGGCAGGTAGAGGCATTCTCTACGGAGATTTATTGGGCTCTCTTTTTTTATTATATTATATACAAATGAATGGAAATTAGTGGAAGATAAGCATAGCAAGTATTACATCATGAAAATTGGTTTTAGAAGAAAAACCTCAATTTTAATCAAAGAGGTTAAGGACATACAATATACTAAATAGAATAAAAAATGTCTTCCTCTCCTTGTAGAGGGTTCATAGAACTTTCCATCAAGGAGTTAATAGACTTTCAGAAATTTATTGAGAAATTCTTAACAACAAAGTTCAGAATAGTTCATAACATCAAATTGAAATAGATTTGATTGAGGACAAATTGTGTTTTCTGTGTTTCCTAGTCTTTGTTTATAAAGCCACATTCACGTAGCACTTATTGCTACTAATTGGTCTTTTAATGTTCTGATATATCAGAAGAAAATTACGTACATTTAGATGTAAATTATTGTGTTGCTGCATCTCTTTTTGTAATCTTAGGTTTAAGTTTTATGGATTTTCCACAAACAGCCGTCCAAATGTGATCTAAACAATCATTTTCTTGTAATAATGATGGTCTTCAGCCTGTGGCGACTGCAAAAGCACATGCAGATAACATAATTCTTTGATTTATTCCGCTATTCAGGTGTACGTTTTCATCTCTTGATGAAAATCAATACAAGTCGTCGTCGTTTTAGTATATGTAAATAATTATATTTTACAGATTATCTGGAATTTAAAAGCAGACGGCCAGACGATAGAAAGCATGATGTGTGTGCTAGCAAGCTTACATCCGGAATGAATTTTTTCCCAGTTATTGGATAATTCATTGGAATAACAACTGTTCAAGGATTCTTCAAGAAATTTTTCTTCTTACGGCATTCCCAACCATCTGATATACAAAATGAAGTGGAGATACTGTGATTACTTATCTGTACTGACCGTCCTGTCTGTGTGTGTCATGCTGGTATCATGTGCGAAAAAGCAGAAAGGTAGGTGATGAAAATCAAATTAAATTAAATGATTAGAATAAGAAATCTAGAAATATTTTAAAACTTTAAAATGATAAAATACTGTAAAAATTGTATAGCATGTTTTGATTGTTTGAATATCATGACACAAAATGACAATTTCTTTTTTTGGTGATTTTGTGCGAATTTTTTTTGCTGATGTGTTTAGATTTGATATTCGAGATCACGGTTGAAATCTGGTTCACAAAATCCAAAATTTGGATGTTGATGTTGACAGCCAGTGTCTGAATCAGATTACGACATCATCTGATGTCTACTTGTGTTAAATGCCATGTAGTTGTCTGTTACCATGAATAGAAATGTTGCTGCTACTTTCTGTTCTTTACGATAATAGATTGTAAATATACTGTAATGATCAATCATTTGACGTCAGAGATTTTCGTTTCGTCAGTTTTCAAAGAAAACTATTTCTAACTGACTGTCTTGAACAAAAGTTTTCATTGGGTCTGTGGACAACATTATGAAATAATTATGACACCCTTACAGGCATCATTCTATTTATGTTTCATTCCGATTGCTTTCATGTTGAAATAAATACCTTATGACAACTAGTTAATAGTTAAGAAGAAAACAATTATTTGGAGTAATGTTCTTGCAAAACTCTTTAATTCTAAAAAGTTTATTATAGTACAGAAATACATAGACTTAACCCTATCTGATGTTTCTTTGTTCATCTAAATTATTGAATGTCATTCTGATCTCCATCAATCTGAATAAGACTAAAACAGGAATTATAATCAGAATTCAGTTAGCTTCAAGGAAACCTTTCCCAAATAAATCTTTGGTTAGATAAAATTAAAGCTAAATGTTTCTGATGACATATGTAACAATACAAAACTTTCTGCCATTACCATATTGAACTCTTTTGTGAAGGAGGTATACATGTAACAGATTTATTCCATTTTGTATTAGATAGGTGAATGTCAATAATTAAGAGGATTCAATCAGAGCCATAACCGTCCAGGCATATAGTATGTCCTATTATTGGATGTATAAGTTCACGCTCCAGTGAATCCCATGTCATCAGACCATATGATTCTATAATCGTAGCAAACAATGTAACATGTAGAAAAAAATTGCATTAAAATCAATATCTCACATCAGAATCGACCATTAAAAGGAACAATCTAGCAAGAATGGTATCAGTCTCTTGTCTTGTCATGTTCCTGTCATTATAGTTGTCTCCCCTTTCTCCAATCTTTCATTAGAGTTGTCTCCCCTTTTCCCTTCATCATGCTTGTGCTTCTACTATTCATTCATCAGAGTGATCTTCCCTTCTTCCCCAACTCAAATTTGTATTTCGTTTACAACCACATAACAATGAGTTTCCTCATCGCTGAATGTGACGAAATGGGATAATATCTTTTGAGTCCAACTGTATTTGTGTCACATGCACACAGTACATATATAGAATATATATCGTCTCTCATGGTTCGAAACGGCAGATTACAGCGATATTCTGTCTTGGTAAAGAAACACATCAATGGTGCCAACCTCCAGTTAATGAACCATCCCTGTCTTTATTGTAGTTGTCTCCCGTGTTAAATATAGTAACAAGAAAACCTGTAGGTATCTGAGTACAAAACATTTTTACTGACTCAACCAAACTATGACTCAGTGATGATCTGTAATTATTCGTATCTTGTATAACCTATGATACTTTAAACCTTAACAGACTGCTATCAGAATCCTTACTTAGTTCACTGTGTAATTACATTCCACCAAAAACAAATGGTGATTTTTTGTACCCGTTTTATCACGTAAAACATTCTATTTGCTAAATGATTTAAAGTAGCGGTAAGAAATCTGTTTCATTATCAGATATTAAAGGACCTGACATTTAAATATCTAATTAAATCATAATAACACATGATCTAAATATTGTAGAATTAATTATCAAATATTCATTAAGGAAATACTTCAAAATTAATTTTCAAGTTTTATATTTCCACTTACAAATCCGAAGAAGTATCATTTTATCACTAAGTACAGAAGAACTCTCTAGTGCATTAGGTATCTGTTTATAGATTAAATTTTATACCTACATCGCCGAATCATATATCATTATTTACGCAGAAAAAACTTAAACACATTTTTCCATTTCTAAGTTATTTTAAGAATGGGTAAGGAAAGATAACAATTTGTATGCATCGTATTTCACACCATAAAATCTTAAAATGTCGAATTTGGAAGAACGAAAAAAGTGATAAAATGGTGGAATTAGATGCAGGAACATGTACATTTCCTCCGGAGTTATCGCTGTGCCAATCATGAATGATAGAAACTAGCAGAAACTTAAATCCAGCTAGACCAGAAATGCGTCTCTGCACATTTCAAAAGTTGTAGGAAAAGAAATTAAGTAGAGTTAAGTAATCATTACCGTGAATCAGAGCAGCATCTTATCAGTGCTTGGCAGGGATGGAGACCTGAGTGCTTTTCTTTGTAAGTGTCATTCTACCAAGAAATCTAATGGTGTTGATATCGCAGGCTTTCAGGCCAGCACAGCTGGGGTGTAGCACCCATCACTGGTCCATATTTTTCATGTAAATTTGAAACATGCTTTTGTTTCACTGCTAAAGCATTTTCTCCGCCATCTTTAAAAATCTCGGAGTTGTTTCATCATTTGTTTTAATCTGTCGTTGATTCGACAATGATAACTGATTTAAAAAGTTGAACCATGGAAAAACATTTAATCTATCAATTTATCAATATACAAATATGTTTAAATGATATAGAAGAAGAAATATGGGATGTTTTAGTTTCTTTTTCATTACTTTCCCTCTTCAGAAAATAATTGATGTCAGTGGTGGCTCTCTCTGTAACTATTAAATCTGTATTTGATATCAAATGGCTACACAGACCATTTATTGTGACAGAAACAAGTTATAAATTCATCAATAGCTGTCCCATGATAAAACAAAATCAATACCATTATTTAATGCGCTGTATAAGCTGGACAGACTATGATTCCAGCACCAAGTTGAACCCAATTGAACTAAGAATCTCATGGACTCTCAGACACACAATCATATCACATCAAATTTGATTTTTGTCCATAGTTTTCTTATCTTTTTTATCATTTCAATCTCATTTTCTTGTTTTGTATTTTGTTTTTTTCTTGTTTGTTTGGTTGTTTTTTTTCTTGAAATTCTAAATACAAAGAGACAACTGTCCTTAAGATAGAGGGCAGGTGCTTCCTTATATCAACTTTTGTACATATCATAAATCTGTGAAACACCCAAATCTATATATGTAAATGCCTGTTGGTCTTTTAGACTGGGAATAGAAAAAAATAGATTCAATCCTTGCTGTATTTCTCATATTTCAAAATAAGGAAAAAATAAAAGAGACAGACCTATACAGATCCAAATGACAGTGGAATATGAAATAGCTGGAAAATCAATGCTTTCTTAGCCTAGAGGGATCATAGGGAGCAGACGACAGATTTCTCTTAATATGGATTTGCAATGTTAGACATAGTTGCGTTTTGCATGATGCCTTGCATGTCATTTCAGCTCATCAACAGGTTTTCAAAATAGACCATGTCGACAGTTTTTAATGGCCTCTGCTTTGTGTTTCCTTTTAAACCAATGTGTCAAATTTCTGGAATTAGGTGCCATAGAGAGTGCATTCTTTTGGTGGAAATGGATCAAGGAGAGCCAATATTTAACGTGCTAGTGATGTCATCATTTACTTCTCCCTATTCTTCTCGATCTTGTTGGCTCTTGATTCTGATCATGGTCGATGTTGTGTCAAATATTGCAATAATTTGATGGGAACTCCATCTTGCTCTTGACTGGAGTCTGGCCTGGAAACCTGAAAGTTACAATGCAAAATTGTTCTATTGATTTCAGGAAGACAGTTAGCGATAAGAAAGTGCTAAGTGTCACCACGTCAAGAAAAATTTTATTCTTAGGGTAATTATGTGTCACAGCATCACTATCTGTTCTTCTCCACAGTGTAAAGAGAAGCCTCCAGTTGACTTTATATGCATGACCTATGGCAGATTCCAGACGGTATATATCTGATATCAGAATTATCAAAAAGGGAAATTTTACGTAATCGTCTGCCATGAAACCCATAAAAGTCCCCATATTTTCATCAATTACTGCAAATATACATATTTTAGGGGTAATCTAATTTCAGTGGTCTTTGTATATCCTATTGACTATTGACAGTTGTCAACCTAGATAACTAGAACAGTTGTACAATGTGGATAAATAGAAGAATGACAGATCTATGATGTACCTTTTGATATCTGAGAGGGCACCAAGAGATAAATACCTGATCTGAATTCACTATCAATATCAATAGCTCTGTCTAGCACCATGATGTAGCATTAGCTCTATACTAGCACTATGATGTAGCATTAGCTCTATCCTAGCACTATGATGTAGCATTAGTTCTGTCCTAGCACTATGATGTAGCATTAGCTCTGTCCTAGCACCATGATGTAGCATTAGCTCTGTCCTAGCACCATGATGTAGCATTAGCTCTGTCCTAGCTCTATGATGTAGCATTAGCTCTGTCCTAGCACCATCATGTAGCATTAGCTCTGTCCTAGCACTACCATGTAGCATTAGCTCTGTCCTAGCACTACCATGTAGCATTAGCTCTGTCCTAGCACTATGATGTAGCATTAGCTCTGTCCTAGCACTATGATCTAGTATTAGCTCAGTCTTAGCACTATGATGTAGCATTATCTCTGTCCTCTTAGCTATGATGTATAGCGTACAATGTAGATATCGGACTGAGAAACTACTTTTGCTGCCTTTGACATGTATGTGTGAAGAAATAGTTTGTTTATTGTAATATTGTTTGTCAGCGGCCAGAATGAAGCTGATGGCAGCCTCACTAAACATAACACCTTTAATGGTAAAATTTCTTACTCGAGAAACAACCACCTCAGCTTAAGAAGTTTTCATAACGCAAATGGTCTGAAATAGAAAATAAATAGATAAATATGAATAGCTTTAGGAAATGAACTACATATGTGTGATTCACGAGGTACCAACAATTCCCTTATATGTATCCTTTTTTATTCTGCATACATCACCTTCTTGACACTCCACGTCATCAAACTCAAATTGTTTAACAAATTTAGATTCACCATTCTCCTTGTGTTTATGGATGGTCAGTTTTATTAACTCAAATAATTTTCTCAGTATTAAAATGTCAAATTTTACAATATGGCCATCTGTAACAAATGCAAATTTGCAATTAACAATTGTAATATTCATGACAATGATTTCATCTTGTTCCTTATGATCGGAAAAAGTGTCATAAGAGGGAGATGTGCTTATTTCAGGATGTCAAATGAGTTGACGATTTCAAAATGTCATTTGTTTCAATTTACAATTTACATAGACTAGCTGTCAGTGAAATTTTCATCAAGTTTATTTTGTTTGATTTTCTACTCTATTTTAAATGTTTCATTCTCCACTCTGTTTCATCTTTTCCTTTTGACATCCTAAATGTTTCATTCTCCACTCTGTTTCATCCTTTCCTTTTGACATCCTAAATGTTTCAATATCCATCCTGTTTCATCCTTTCCTTTTGACATCCTAAATGTTTCATTCTCCACTCTGTTTCATCCTTTCTTTTTGGCATCCTAAATGTTACATTTTCCTTTCTGTTTCATCTTGTCTTTTAAAAATCCTTAATGTTTCATTCGCCAACACATATCCTCTGACTCAATATTGTGGGACGGACTTCCTACAGGTCACCAGGAGGCGGACACATAACCTCTCTCTCAATATTGAGGGATAGACTTCCTACAGGACACCAGGAGGCCGGCACATAACCTCTGACTCAATATCAGGGCATTCACTTAGTGTTGTTTGTTTTATACAGAACAGTAACGTTTTGGTGGGCTTATTAGTGGATATATTCTTATTTTAAGATAAATATCGTATGCTGTCTATTGGTTGAGAGTCACTGTTAATGAATCATAAGAGTTGTGATTAACTGATGGCCATGTTTAAATATTTTTCCGAACACCATCCCATTTCCATGTAGTCCAATTTAAAGAATGATGAAAGTGGGAAAATGCGGAACTTTAAAATAATCTTTGTTTCTGATATATATACCTGGAGAGTGCCTAGAAAATTCTACTGAACATCCATGAATGAATTACAAAAATAGGTTTTCATCCTGTTTTTCTGAAAAAGGTCAGTAGTAATTGGGATCAGTCTTGTGGTAAATACGTAGCTTGTAGATATAAACGTGTTCGATGTGGTACAGAACTCTGGTTGATAAAGATAAAAATGTAACATGTTTAAGGCAGTTCTTTATATGTACAATTACACTATGGCCTTTCAGATAGGGATCTTTTTGATATTCAGAGCTGAAACAAACACAGGAACAAAAATGTTGCAGTTAATACTATGTTATAATATGACATATTTACTGGTCTAAACACACAGGAACTGAGTCAATGGTCATAGAATACTCAGTAAACTACCACAAGATTCATTTAATATTTTGTAGATTTCATAATACATTATTAAGACGTTCATACGAATAATGTTTAGTAAATACAGTGAAAAGCATTGTTTGGATGTTCAAACAGTGTTCTGTAGACAGCAAGACAGCACATGATATCTGAATCTGCATGACCCCTTTCACAGATTGGAGTTCATATTCACATTATTAATGTGGAAGTTTCACAACCTGAAACTTGGCACCCAAGTATATATCCATCACATTGGTTAATATAGGGTTATGTGGATCCCTGGTTACTCTGTTTTTATCATCTAACTTATCTGAATATTCAAATTATTTGAAAGGATAAATAGAAATGGTAGAAGGGACAGAGATGGATTTGTAGAAAAATTCATAGAATGCAAACACGCATTTGAATAACCAGAAAATTCTGTGTGACATGGGTTTAGTAGGCGTTTACAGGGTTGGTTGTTCATATGGTAGTTACTGACTGCGATCAATAAGTTGGAGGAAGTTTGTCATTTATACAATAATGGTGGCCTGCATGGCACTGATAGATCACCTACATATTAGGAGAGACATAGTGCAGTTCTATATGTCCTATTTATACCATGAGGTATTTAAAATAGTTCCACACTACATGCTGAGAAGTTTATAAATGGGAAAATTAATGCTATAAATTTCTGATGATTGATATCAAAAACAGTAATATAGTTTGATGCTTGAAAATTTATTCAATTATGGTCATACTCTTCTAAATAGGCTCCTCAGAAGACCATTTTTCTGCCTTACAGTAAAAGTCATCTTAATTACACGAAGAAATTTTTGAAAACATCCAAATTTTTATTTTAGGAAATGCCTGTATATAAAATACTTGACCACATTTGATGAAGATATATGTATGATTCAACAATCCCTGCTGGTTTTTGTTTCTCAGGAACCAGGGATATGACCAATCCTGTGCTGTAGTTTAGTGTCTGTAGGCGAAAAACTTTACCCATAAGACAGCGGATGGCATATGATAGGCCTCTTGTGTGTTATTCAGTGACATAGCCAGCAACTTTGGCAAGAAAACCCCACCTCAAATGAGTTAGTCACCAGCTACCACGTATACAAGCAAACGCTGCCTCAGTTTGACCCTGGCTGTTAACAAGACAATAAATCTGACAAACAAATATTTACGTATTAAATATAATATTTAGCTGGTGATTAAATTGAGTCACTGTAATTAAGTGTCTTTGGCTGCCCTACATCATGTTTTCTGTTTTTCTCTTTTTGTAGCACCGTCCTGGCGTCAAGACTCTGCACCATTTGGTAATGACGCCATCGTAGCTAAAACTGAGGACAGTAGTATCCGTTTAAACTGTGGTGCCAATGGAAAACCTAGACCAACAATCAAGTGGTTCAAGAACGGAAAAAGATTTGATGTCAAAGCACGAAAAAAGGTATGTGTTTCATCAAAGGCAGACAAAGCATTTTCAGCTCACCTGGTGCATCAAAAGTTTCATTCAAACACTACTTTTCATGACTTGCTTATCAGATTTTGACCACATTTAGTAGGATTGGCATCCTTTAGGGAAAGGCTAGTTCTATGAAGGGATGATCTCAGTCTTCTTGGGCCATAGGGGCAGGGCCAAATATGGAGAATAGAGCAAATGCTTTAAAATACTTCTTCTGTTGAAATGCATAGATCCTGAGATTCTGCCCTAATATGGTCTGAAGCATCTTTGGATGAAGGAAATTAGTTTTGTATATGAAATGAGTCTCTACCACTAGGGTAGGAAATGGGAAAGGTGGGGGGGGGGGGGGGCAATATCAGAAATAGAGCAATTCAGTAGAAAGAATTTTGTGTAAACGGTTTGCTGGGGTAGGATGGTAAAGACCAGTTATGAAATTGATATGTAAATCATTTGAATTCCTTTACCATAAGTTAAGGAAAAATTGATTCCAGCCAAACAAAGCCAGGCGAGTTAAACAGGCACTAAGGACCTCTTGTTTACTACACTCAGACAGTTTTAAATCCTAAAGGAGAAGAAAGTAATGTAGGAAGGTTGCATGGTCCATGATGCAGCTGTAATATTAGACAATGTTTTGGTGGAAAGTCTCTTGTAATGTTGTAAGATTTACATATAAGCTTGTGAAATTGTAATCTGAGAGACGATGGCCTTTCCATAATATACCTACATTTCTGATCTTATTTTTTTCTAAAGGAAAAAAAAGGAATTAAAGAAATATGTATAAGGTCAAATATATTGTGTAATTTAATTTCTCAAAACAATCAAGCTTTCATTTTTGAAATAGATTCAATAATAGCACCCCAGTTGGGAATGTGGCTATATCTGCACTTAGTAGACATCAATTGATTGTGTTAAAGGATTTTCTTGACAAATGTGCAATTCAATATGAAAAAAAACTGTTTGTAGGTTTTATCTCTTTGAATATATGTTTGCCGACATATATATGTATATGTATCCCCATGATATATGTGACTGGCAGATATAATTGGTAGTCATAGTGATGCTGTTTGGCAGGTGGAGGTTATCCTCGGTGTGCCCTACCAGGAAACCACGTAGTCTGGTGACCTTCATAGACAGGAAGTATCAAAATACTGGTGCTATGGCAACCAAGGTGTAGCGTTTCGTGGAATCTTGGTGTTATACCTGGTATAAAGCCAATCCATATCTTTTTCTGTTAAATAGAATTACAAACAAATCCAGCCTCATTGTCCAACAGAAAGCTCACCCGTCTTTAAGTCCGAATTATTACATGTGATTTGCTGGCCCTGTGGGCTAACTGTGGTTATGAAATGTAGGCATTCTGCTCAAAATGTCAAATTCTGTTAACATAAAAACACAAATGATTTCCTTATAACATATTGTTTTAACAAGCAATATGTCTGGAGTAATGGCAACAAATATGATTTCTAGTTTTGCAGAGAATGTCATGATGAACCATCAATGTCTTCTATGTAAGCTGTAGAGTTGTTGAGCAATTTATTTTAGGCCTATTTTGCCTCTTTCATATATTGGTCTTTACAGTCAGATGGCCGTTAAGGACCATGGGCCTCATGTTAGTGAAGGGAGATATATAGTTATCACTTAGTATGTTAAATATCCCGTGAACACCTCAAGAATTAGATCATAGAGTGGGGGTTAAAAGGTAAGAAACCCTGCCCTTTTCATTTTTATTCTGGAATGGTTCTATAACCTGTATCTTTCACAAGAATCCATCACTTATGATAATGGTGATATATGCATTTTATCCAAGCAAGACACCTCACTCAGTGGTTTGTAGTTCATCTGATCATTCCATCTGACTTTCATCAGTGTGACATGAAGTTCATCTGATCATTCCTTCTGACTTTCATCAGTGTGACATGAAGTTCATCTGATTGTTCCTTCTGACTTTCATCAGTGTGACATGAAGTTCATCTGATTGTTCCTTCTGACTTTCATCAGTGTGACATGAAGTTCATCTGATTGTTCCTTCTGACTTTCATCAGTGTGACATGAAGTTCATCTGATCATTCCTTCTGACTTTCATCAGTGTGACATGAAGTTCATCTGATTGTTCCTTCTGACTTTCATCAGTGTGACATGAAGTTCATCTGATCATTCCTTCTGACTTTTATCAGTGTGACATGAAGTTCATCTGATCATTCCTTCTGACTTTCATCAGTGTGACATGAAGTTCATCTGATCATTCCTTCTGACTTTCATCAGTGTGACATGAAGTTCATCTGATCATTCCCTCTTACTTTCATCAGTGTGACATGAAGTTCATCTGATCATTCCTCTGACTTTCATCAGTGTGACATGAAGTTCATCTGATCATTCTGACTTTCATCAGTGTGACATGAAGTTCATCTGAGTGTGACATGAAGTTAATCTGATCATTCCTTCTGACTTTCATCAGTGTGACATGAAGTTCATCTGATCATTCCCTCTTACTTTTATCAGTGTGACATGAAGTTCATCTGATCATTCCTTCTGACTTTCATCAGTGTGACATGAAGTTCATCTAATCATTCCTTCTGACTTTCATCAGTGTGACATGAAGTTCATCTGATCATTTCACTTTCATCAGTGTGACATGAAGTTCATCTGATATTCCTTCTGACTTTCATCAGTGTGACATGAAGTTCATCTGATCATTCCTTCTGACTTTCATCAGTGTGACATGAAGTTCATCTGATCATTCCTTCTGACTTTCATCAGTGTGACATGAAGTTCATCTGATCATTCCTTCTGACTTTCATCAGTGTGACATGAAGTTCATCTAATCATTCCTTCTGACTTTCATCAGTGTGACATGAAGTTCATCTGATCATTCCTTCTGACTTTCATCAGTGTGACATGAAGTTCATCTGATCATTCTGACTTTCATCAGTGTGACATGAAGTTCATCTGATCATTCTGACTTTCATCAGTGTGACATGAAGTTCATCTGATCATTCTGACTTTCATCAGTGTGACATGAAGTTCATCTAATCATTCCTTCTGACTTTCATCAGTGTGACATGAAGTTCATCTGATCATTCCTTCTGACTTTCATCAGTGTGACATGAAGTTCATCTGATCATTCCCTCTTACTTTTATCAGAGTGACATGAAGTTCATCTGATTGTTCCCTCTTACTTTCATCAGTGTGACATGAAGTTCATCTGATCATTCCTTCTGACTTTCATCAGTGTGACATGAAGTTCATCTGATCATTCCATCTGACTTTCATCAGTGTGACATGAAGTTCATCTGATCATTCCTTCTGACTTTCATCAGTGTGACATGAAGTTCATCTGATCATTCCTTCTGACTTTCATCAGTGTGACATGAAGTTCATCTGATCATTCCTTCTGACTTTCATCAGTGTGACATGAAGTTCATCTGATCATTCCCTCTGACTTTCATCAGTGTGACATGAAGTTCATCTGATCATTCCCTCTGACTTTCATCAGTGTGACATGAAGTTCATCTGATCATTCCCTCTGACTTTCATCAGTGTGACATGAAGTTCATCTGATCATTCCTTCTGACTTTCATCAGTGTGACATGAAGTTCATCTGATCATTCCTTCTGACTTTCATCAGTGTGACATGAAGTTCATCTGATTGTTCCTTCTGACTTTCATCAGTGTGACATGAAGTTCATCTGATCATTCCTTCTGACTTTCATCAGTGTGACATGAAGTTCATCTAATCATTCCTTCTGACTTTCATCAGTGTGACATGAAGTTCATCTGATCATTCCTTCTGACTTTCATCAGTGTGACATGAAGTTCATCTGATCATTCCCTCTGACTTTCATCAGTGTGACATGAAGTTCATCTGATCATTCCCTCTGACTTTCATCAGTGTGACATGAAGTTCATCTGATCATTCCCTCTTACTTTTATCAGTGTGACATCAGATGATGGAATAATATAGATTTGATAAGTGTTTGATTCCTTGAGTGGATATGAAAAGGTATGAGGGTCTCCGATTGGCCATGTGGAGTTTTCCTGGGTATCCCAACTTCCTCCCAGAGTAATAATCCTCACACTACTCCATCCAGGCAGACATGAGTGATTAGTATATGCTGATAAATTGTTTTGTAATTGTTGTAAAATAAAGTTTATACTTTATATTAAATTGAGATGGAATATGTTGCTGAATTCCAACAGAGAGGTAGGAGAGCAACAGATGACAGTTGTTGTACTAAAGTTGTTGATTAAGTGGTACAGAATGTATCAGTGATGGATTGTACAGGAACCAAGTACACAACACACTACTGAGATTGAATGGCATTATGTTTACACTCTGTATAAATGTATACAGCAAGGATATAAAATAAGGTAGGAACAGGGTCCTACTTCTGGTCGTGTGAGAAGAAACACAATATCACCATCAATATCTTTGGTTTCCTTGTCAAACACAAAAATCATCACCATTATAAAACTGTACTGTAGGAATATGATCTATAGAAGTATTAAATGGAGTTGATTTTGTTGAAGATACCTACCATATAGGGCCAGATCACTATTACGCTAAATGATATAGACGCTTGATGGGAGTACATTTGATGCCATACGTCTGACTTGTAGAATTCTAAATCTTATATTTCATTGCAGATGTATTAGGTATATCATGACTCTACAAGTGTCGTTGTAAAACAATAGTTTTACAAGAAAGAATAAGATTGTCAGTACATTGGGGAGGTATTATAGGTCATGTTGATAGATACATTACAACCATTATCCGGTGTGTCGGGGATTGTTGTCAATTTTCTGATCAGTCAGTATCGTGCTGTAAGCTCAGAGGATCAACACATTACTTGAAAGTACCAAATGTCAGGGAGTGGGCTTATTACAGGACAATGAAACAGCACCAGTTGGCTTTTTCTGAAATGATACAAAATCTCTGAGTAGAATGTATCTGTGACAAATGTTGCAAAATAATAAACATTGTATACCACTGAAATTGGTCAGCCTAAGCCATGGTGTGACTGCCATCATCTGTCAGTCTGCTGTCCATCATAATATTTTCTTTGAAACAGTTTCTTTTCAATAAGCAAGAAGGCCAGGATCCTTATATTGGTCCAATAGCATCCTGGACTGAAGAGCTACCAAGTTTGTTGAAATGAATTACCTTGACCCACATGGTCACATCTTTAAATCTTTAAATAATCATGAGGTCTAAGGCTCTGATATTAGGCCTGTATCATGCAGAAGGGCTAAAATGTTTTGTTTATGAATGACCTTGACCTACTTTCAAGGTCACAGTTATCAAAGACATAAATAAGGAAATTTATGTATCTTTAGGGAGTGAGATATTGCTCTAGTCAGAATTCATGACTGAAGTTTTGTTTTTGTCATACCTAGGTCTTAAATCCTATTTCAGTAGACTGGGTCAATGAGAATCACTAGTCTTGAGTTGTAAGAAAGATGTGAACATATAGTGACCTGTTTATCCATCAAGGCCAAGTGCAGCCACTGGCTTGCCACCTCTGGGTCATGGGTTCAAGGCCTACTTGGAGCAGTCATCAGGTACCCGATGCAGGGAGGCAGTTTTCCTTTAGAAAACTGACGTCTGTAAATGACCCTGGCTGTTAGGATGTAATGCAGTAAGCCTAAGTCCAGTACTAAGCCAACCAGCCCCGAGAAAAATTATCTATGTTGTTTCATTTTCATGTAATAAGCCCACCCCTTGGCTTGTGTCGGAAGTAAAAAGTGATTAACCTGTGACAGTATTCTTCATTTCTCTAATGTTTTAGTCACGAGAGCACAGATATTCCTTAATTATGAATGCTGCTACGATGGCGGACAACGGAGATTACATGTGTAGGGTGGAAAATCCAGCAGGAACCATCGAGTTCACATTCAGAGTAAATGTCATCAGTAAGTATTCCACCACAGTTAAATTCAACTGATTGAATGACTTTTTTTTCAATAAAATTTTCCCCTGTTCATCGTCGAAAAGGAGGAATATAAAATGTGGGCAAAAATTACACTTCTGTAGATTTACCCATAATACAACCCTGGACTTTGAACCTGAGTATTTGTGTTGCCCTCTTGGCATAAAATTATTACAGAAAAAGCAACTTTGAGGCTCACTAGACTGTCTTGATTAACCCAGACAACAGGGACAATTGCTCAAATTTTATTGAGAGAAATGTCTTTCAGTGAAAGTTATTGTTTTACAAATCCAATAACTGGGTCGGATTCTGATTGGTATATGTTTTTATCCCTTTTACAGAACAATCTGTTGACCTTGACATTGAGGCTCCACAGAATGTGACAGTGCGTCAAGGAGAGGATGCCATGTTTATCTGTCGTGCACGCAATGTTCCTGATGCCACGATCCAATGGGTGAAAACAAACAATGGTTCCACTTCAACAGATCGCACATACCCTGAGGTAAAATTCTACATACAGATCTTCAGATAAGTATGTCACTGATGACTTATCTTAAATAGGTCACGGTGACCTGTCATAAGGTAGGCTGGTATTAGATAAACATCAGATAAGTATCTAGTTTGCAGGTGACTGGACTCAAATAATTAGGGCTCAATCCACATTCTTGTTTAGCAAATTCACAAGAATAGATTTTACTTTTGACCAATTGATCAAAACCTACTTTTTTATCTTTAAGTAAATTTAAAGGGAAGGTTGAGTCAGTTAACATCAGTTAACATTTATTGAGCATACTGTTCCTGTAACACTGAAGGAATGGTTAAACTTTTAACTTTTGCTTAAACTGTTTTGTTTTCATCCAGTTCCAAGCATTCAGGGCACTTTTCTTTGGAAGCAAGTGTTGTATATACTGGTGATGAATTCTAACTGAGAATGGTACTAATCATGTAAGGATGCTAAATTCATTTGAAATGTAGTATGATGGTATTTATTGTTTGTTTTCCAGCATCTGACACCGAACTCTGATGGCGAGCTTATAATCAGCAATGTCCAGCCAAGTCAGAGCGGTGAATACACCTGTTGGATTGGGACGTATTATACAATCATTGACCGTCATGTCTGGTTAACAGTCATACCAAATCCTACCACGACTACAACCACAACCACTACCACAACCACCACCACCACAACCACCACGCCGGCCCCAACGACAACCACTACCACAGAACCAACAACAACAACAACAACAACTATGGCACCAACAACAATGGCCCCTACAACAACAACTTTCCGTGACACGACCTTTGACTTCGGAGATCTGGATGATTTCGACAACATGGGGAACGAAAGAAAACGAAAGAAGGATAAAAAGAAGAAGAACAAGAAAAACAAGGATAAGAAAAATAAAAAGAATAAGGATAAAAAGAAGAAAAATAAGAAAGAACGAGAAAGGAAGAAACAACAAAGGGAACGTACTAGAATGGAGGAAGACTTGTACTCACTTGACCCTAAAGTTGTCGATGGATATAACATCCCCGATTTCTCCACATATGGGGGATTGGAAAACTACCCAAAGGAGGATCATTATGGTAGGAAGATTTTCAAGCGTGTCATTTTTTTACTTAAGGGTGCATACTACCATGTATATCACAAGAAAACCTTGTCTGGTAATAAGCCCACACATGTTTATTACTGTCCTGTAGTAAGTCTGTACCTCGTCGTTGAATAAGAAATAATGTATTGGGCCTTGGACTTACTGCGGATAAATTTAATAACTTACCGATAAAGAAATTTCAAATTTTAATAAAACAAAATGAAGCTGTCTGTGTACCTTCCTATGATGTTAGGTTTCTGTAATATCAGTCACATTTTCTGCCATTTCTTGTCATTAATTTTATAATTAACATTTTTCAGACTTTGATAACGAGCTTCCGTCCACACCCAAGCCATACCATGACATTGGAGATGGGAATGATGATATCGACTATGGACATAACGATGAAATGGATCTTGTCCGTAACCATGACATATCGGTGAGCTCATCAGCAGGTGGGAAGAAACCACCAAAAACAACCAATCAAAAAGATCTCAGCATGATGACAATTTACATCATCGTGGGGTCTGTGGCAGGAGGCGTCTTGTTGGTCGGACTTGTGGCAATTATAGTCGCTGTCTGTTGTAATAGGATAGAGGATGGAGGATATAAATCAACTTCTGTGTAGGGTCTTCAAAGGGAGGTAATCTCTTAAAGGGAGACAATTAAAATAAGGGAGATGATTGTCAATGCTGCCGACATGTTGGATAATCGCATGTCCATTAGATTCTTGTAAACATGTGAGATGAAAATCAACGAAAAGTGAAATTGCTCCTAACTATGACAATTAACAATTAAGGAGATCAAAGACAGTAAGTGAAGACCAATCATTTTGGTAATATTTTTATATTTCCTGATTCTTCAGTATCCCAGAGCTCAGATCAAAGCAATTTTAGTTTTGTTCATTTGTTCGACATTTTTGTGGATTTCTGGGATGCACCTGAAAGTGTCTCCTCAGTGGTGTTGTGACGTTTCATAATTGGATAAATTCCAACTTGAACACATTGTGTTTGTACTAAAACTTTCACCCATACAAAGATGGGTAACAATTGAACGCAGAAACGCCATGAGGTATGTTACATACCAATGTAGGATTTGATGAAGTGAAATGTGACGTCACAAAAGTTCATTATGTATCCTCTGCTGATTAATATATACACATGTTTCATGTATATAGAAAGATTCAATGTGTTTAGAAACAATTTGCATAATAATATACATGAATATCCTAATATTCATATAACAATATCATGAATATTCATATAACAATATCATGAATATTCATAACAATATCATGAATATTCATATAACAATATCATGAATATTCATAATTAAATTAGGTTATACCTTTTGTAGGGACTGGTAAGAAATAAGTGGAAGATAGATGAGTATTACGCTCTGCTGGATTTCTCTGAAATGGAAAGTTGACCAAAGAACTATATATTGATATGTGCAATATATTAACTACAGTATTTATACTTCTTGAATGTAGACATTTAATTTTCAACATTCATCAAATTCAAGTTTTATTTTTCAGAACTGTTTGTTATGAGTATATGCTGTGAGTTGAAGTGTACATTGTATAAATTTATCATTATCATGTTGCCCCCTCTGGTAATTTCAAGATATTGCCAGAAATTCTTAAAACCTGCCATGTGGAGAAGTTCTAAGGATGAAAAAAAGAGCTACAGGTTATTCATTAGAAGGCCATTAGGAGATAATTGCTGTATAGAAATTATTATAGACACATTGCATGTATGTAGATAGAGTTGTCATCAAAATCACTTTCATCATCATTGGATTTTTCGTCATTTGTTGTCCTTTTCTTGGTCAGGATAAAGTTCCTATCAGACATCTGTTTCCTTTTCTTGATCAGGACAAGTTTTTGATCAGATTATAGTTAAAAACATGATATCAGTTTTTATGTGACTAAGAAAAATGATGAAATGTACATGTTATGCCTTGTTTCAAATAGCTTAAGAGCAATTTAAAACATCTAATTTACATGCATTACAGTTGCATTTGAAATATTTAAAAAAAAATCTGTGAATGGTTGATTGATATAAATTCTGTATTTATTCCCACAGCCCCTCCCCCCTTCTTGTTCTCTCTGTTGTCCTATATGACTATATAGAAGTTTAGCAGTAAAAGTTATTTTGTATGTTGTTGAGATTAGTTGGTGCTAACGATTTTGTTATTGTGTGTACATGTCCATATAAACTTTTATGTAATAAATCTGTTTTCATTGGATTTCAAAATTACCTGTTTATATGACACTAAAATCTCAAGAAAGATAAATCTAGGTTTTTTTTTATGTCAGTTTCTTGAGATAAAAATCCGTAGTGCCCCATTTCTCCATTTCACGTGGAAAATTTGACAGCACTCGTTTTATTGGGATCGGTTTAACACTGACTTCTGTTTGTATTTTGAGACATCCAAGACGATAAGACTCATAGAATGACATGCTAAAATAAAAGGTTTATTCACCAATTTTTGTTATTGTCTCTAACTCAATTTTACCATAATTTTATTTTGTATTGTAGACTACTGATATGTTCATATTGTCTTTGTTGTAACCAACTCTTTTTGTATCAGAGGATTTCAGTTGGAAAATCAAGGATTCCTTCTAACATGGTGATTTGACAAAGGAAACTAAAGCGTTAAAACACCTGACACCTTTTCAGCGACTATTTTTGTAACCTTTCAGATACTGCTATTTAGAATTAATTATTGGTGTCAAAAGATTCTTTATGGCGGAGAGCATTATATCTTGTCAAAATTTCCTAAAATGAAGCCAATGGTTACTTTGATGATTAATTTCTGACCGTGTGCGGAGATCAACTTACCGATGTCATCAGATAGCATGCTTTTCTTTTTGTTCACTTTGCAAGTGCATGTAGCATAAATCAGTGGAGAGAGAAAAAAAACGTAAATTATAAATCTATGTTGCAAGATTCGGAGATCCACAAAAAAAAAAAAGTGATTAAGAAAAATATTCATTATGTTTGACTGAAAGTGTGCTATCAAAAAAATGTTCGCATTTGTTCAAATCAGCAAAGAAACTCTTGATGTGTCCATCTTGGATGAATTCTCCCTTTGTGTGTGATACATTTTAAACTAACTGTTTTACTAACTGGTAGAACAACTAATGTTTGTGGGAACAAGATGGTGTTGCTATGGTTACCCATTTTTGTCGGGTAACAGATGCCTTTAAGAATTTCCATTAGGATTTAATAGGTCTTGTGACTTGACATTGATAAACAGTATAGGCCTTATAATTCTCTGATCAGAAAACAGTATAGGCTTAAACAGAATCAGAAAACAGTATAGGTCTAAACAGTATGAGAGAACAGTAAAGGCCTGTACAGTTTACAATAAGAAAACCATATAGGCCTTTTACAATTTCCAATTTGGAATCCAAAAAGACCAAAATAGTTTCTAAACATTTCAGCAGAAACCGTTTCCATCTGAAAAATCATATAGACAAAAAAAGTGTCCAATCAGAAAGCTATGTACGATAAAGACCAAAAAAGTGTCCAATCAGAAAGCTATGTACGATAAAGACCAAAAAAGTGTCCAATCAGAAAGCTATGTACGATAAAGGCCAAAAAAGTGTCCAATCAGAAAGCTATGTACGATAAAGGTAAAAAAAGTGTCCAATCAGAAAGCTATGTACGATAAAGGCCAAAAAAGTGTCCAATCAGAAAGCTATGTACGATAAAGGTAAAAAAAGTGTCCAATCAGAAAGCTATGTACAATAAAGGCCAAAAAAGTGTCCAATCAGAAAGCTATGTACGATAAAGGCCCAAAAAGTGTCCAATCAGAAAGCTATGTACGATAAGGCACAAAACGTTTCCAATAGGTAAATCAAATAGGACTGAACTGTTTCCAACTGGAACACCATATAGGCCTAAACAGTTTCTAATCAGTCATAGACAGGTCCTTGTCTTACTATATCATAACAACGTTTTGAGTTGCTAGATTTAGAATTTGTTTGACAGTGGTGTAAATATATAAACCCTTCTCATTGCCAGATAATCATTTATCATTATATCAACAATATTGTATAAAGTCTTAATGCTGCTCCCAACTCTCTCCTCCGACAATGGATGTGATATGTAGGCAAACTTGTATTTTTTCCACCCACAACAACTGGAAGTGTAAAATCTGTTTTGTAACATGTGGGAAGAATTTTGGGTTGAAAACTTTTCCACCATGCCCATGTATGTTTTCAAAGCTTGTGTTATGACAGGACATATAATTTCGTTACAGTCATAATTAATAATAGTTTATTTCATAATTTGCCTGAACATCCTCGAGAAAAGAGTGGACCCGACATGTAATATTTTGACTATCAATTTTATTGTTGATTTTCAGAATGTGAAAGGACACTTTAGTTTATCTCCTGTCTTTTGTAAAGTTTGAAAATGATACAAAAATTCAGTTTGCACAACTCATTGTAGGATATACTCACTGCCAGGTTTAATATTTCTTCATACTCATACCTGGCACATTAATGTACTTATCATGCTGAAAAAAGAAGTCTCCATTTTGGTATTGGATCTAATAGTACTTGACAATCATCAAAATGATTTTCTAAATTTTTTTTTTTATTTTATTTTATTTATATCTACGTATGTCTTTATGGAATCTTGTGTGTTTATTAAATTGATTTTATGTGAATTTTGAACTGTCATTTATTTTCACTAAAATCAATAGTTTAAACAATGCATTGTATATGTTGATAAGGACACTTGTCTATGATTGTATATATTGATTCAATAAAAATAATATTCTTTTTCTTATCATGATTTTCAGCAGTGAAACTAAAAGAATGGACAATTTCATCAAGAAAAAAAAAATTGTTAATGAAATTCTTTGGAAAAAATTTTCACTGGCAGATAACATTTAAAAGTCACTTGGCTATTTTGACATTAGGAACTTGTCAGAAAACTGCATCATTTCGAGATACATGTATCATGTTTTCGCTTTTTATCAAGTTATTGCTAAATAAGAATTGAAGATTATAACATCTTGCCATTTATTAGTTTGTGTTTCATATTCCCAAAAATGGTGCATTGATCATAAAGATTGATATTAATGATAGAACTGTAGGTGTATCTTGGTAGAACTATTTATCAACATTATGAATAAAGACTTTGTGTGATTATGTGTTTTTTTCTTCAGTATTTTGATACAAACTCTGTATATTATTTATTTTTTATTTCCTGAATGTCACTATTCAATATATTTTTCAATATTCAGTGTTTTGTATTATTCATAATGATGAAAATAATGATCTAATGGAAATATCACAAACTGTTGTAGACACTGACACAAGAGTTAGGTCTTTGACCTTGACCCTGGTTTGAGGTATATATATGAAAGTACAGAAACAAGAATTATTGTTTAAAGTAAACTATTATCAAAGACAAAAATCTTTGAAACCAACCTTTATCAATTTACAAGAAATTAAAAAAGTCAAACTAAAGTGGAGTTGTTGATGTCAAAGTCCTGCATATCAGCTGACTTAAGTCTTCCTTTTTTAGAATTTAAATATGATGTAAACAACTTGTATTGTTTTCCAAAAGTACATTTTCTTAATGGTTTTGAATGATACGTTTTTGATATAGCTGATGAAACACTGAATTTCTGTACATTCATTTTATATCTGTTATGAATAATTAACAGTTGCTATAGAAACAGATATTTAACTGTCTTCATTAGCATACTGTTAATTAGAAGCCATAGAAACTGCACACAATTAAGAATATATGTAAATGAGTTGTGGGCGTCATGATGTCTAGTTTGATGTGTACCTCCGTGTTAGGTAGATTTATGGAGGAGTATGCCATAGGATGGTCCTATGCTATAATTAACATGGCTCAGAAAACATTTTACAGAATGAGAGTTGCTCAAAATAAGTTAGAAAAAAGACCAGGAAAAATCCGCCAATGCACTCACTGAGAAATCATGTAGCAAGGGAGATAACTCCAAGACAGAAAAAAGTAGATTAACAAAAAATATTGACAATTTTTAAAAAAAGATTGGTAACACATTCTCTTATGTATTTCAACATTTTTATAAAGATCAGGTTATTTCAAACAAATTCATGTTAGTGGTGCCAAAATTCTAGGAAAGAAAAAAACATCTTATTGGCTAAAAAAAGAATCCATTAATGGCAAGGATCAAAACTTGACAAATACCATTTCAAATACTAGGTATAGGCAAAATGAAAGTAACCTGTTAATTTTGTCATGGATATGGCTTCAAAGGAAGATCGAAGCTGATTACCATTTTCATAGTATTGTGTATTTATGTCATGTGCACCTTGGTGATTCGCTGAGATTTTCCAGATTCAGGGTACAGTTGTAGATACGTTATTCCTGTAGATAGTCATAAGTATCATTCATTATTTTCACCCCCTTGTAATAGTACCGGAGTATTTTAAGCAGTCTCTGATATCACTTTAACACCTACTTAAACCAATTTAAAATTTCAAGTTAATAATTCCAAGAGGCTGGGTATTAGTGAAAAACTTCATTTTTTTTCTTCTCAAAGTTTTGATTTGTTCAGTTCCAGACCACCATTTAAAGGGTAAATTCATAATCGTCTTGTTTGATCATTCACACAGAATTAAGTCACAAATTTCAGTACAATCTCGGTGAAAGATATTAAAATGTGAAAAGACTGGAAATTTTCTCACAAGTCATCCAACTAGAAAAAAATTCTCATGAGAGTAAGCTAAAACAAATCAGCAAATTTTTTCAACTTTTTATGAATTGCACGATGTGATGCACTATTGTATACGTTTCCATTTTTGAATGATAAGCTCAATTATAATTTCTTTAATTATTAGAGTATTTAATTGATGAATTAATGTATGTGTGATTATCGTGGTTCTGCATCCTATAAGTACTAATTGGTTGTCGCAGTAGGGCGAATGTTAGATTAAAAAAAAATAAGGTTTCGTATACATGTTAGTTCAATATCAATATTAAGTCATATGTGATCAACATTCAGTCAAATAAAACTGTCAGATACTAAAGACGTCAACATTGTTGTTTTTATTTTAGAAAATCTTAACTTGAATTATGTAATTATGTTTAAGAAGTCGTTTTTGCCAGGAAAGACAGGCATGTATACTAATTTATTTTCAAACTGTATCCATGCATACAACTTCATTTTCTTGCTGTTAACCAAACAAGAATTAAGTGTCAAACAAATAATGAATTTGACCAATGAACTCAATGTATGTACAAGACACTTGCAATCCTACATTTACCTATGAAATTTCATCAACTTCTAAAGCTGTGGAATTACAAACATTACTGCATTGCAGTATTCTGTAATAAAACCCACCTGTATCTGTGTCTTGTAGAATTACAAACAGTACTGCAATGCAGTATTTTGTAATAAACCCACCTATATGTGTGTCTTGTAGAATTACAAACAGTGCTGCATTGCTGTATTTTGTATTTAGCCCACCCCCTTGAATTGAGTCTGAATATGAAACATATAACAGAAATGTCTTCCCTCATTTTTACTTGGGCATGGTGCAATGGAGATTGTAATATAAACAAACAAACACAGATGAAGAGTTATTTTTAATAGCAATAATATATATATATATATATATATGGCTCACAAATACACACCTGTTGATTGCACCACTTTGTGTCAATTAAAAAACAATTATCAAAATTTCATTGAACCATTCATTAAATGATTAATAAAAAACAAATCACAGAATTTATTAATAACAATCAGGTACACTTAACATAAGTATATCACACAGAACTGAATGCATTAATACCATATTTACCTTACATAAAGGGTCACCTGTAACCCAGATCATTTGTAAAGTGTCCTAACTGGATTACCTCCCTTGGATCACTATCACAACAAAGTAGCATGTTCACTTAATAAAATATCCTTTTTTAACCAGCCTGATTAAACTTTATCCAGATCTTATTTTACTATGATACTCTCTACATTAAATCTTATTCAATTAACATATGTTTTTAATCAGATTAATCTCTTCACAGTAAATCAATCTTGTTTCAAAAATATACCAGGCTACAAAGAGGAACATTATAAGGCGTAAATTGGATTACCTCCCTTCTTCTCGGTTTGGCATAATGCTTGGTAATTCCAATCAAAGACATAGTAACCAGAATACATTTCCAAACATTTCCGAAAATTAACCCCATTTCTACCATGGAAATCATTTTAATGATTCAAAATTCTGTAAATGAGAGGTGTTATTAAGTACCTGCATGAAGCACCACACAAAACCGCACCAAAATCATGACATCTAGTTTCCGAGGGAATACTGGGGACAATCTTAATTATGACAGTATCAGCTTTACCCTGAAACATGTTTGTATTTCAAAGAGGAAGAAGGAGAAATAAGAGACAAAATTCTTCAGTCTGTGCAAAGTAACAAAAACTGTTACAAATACAACGGTGTTTGAATAAATGCTTTCATAATGAATTAGGGAAGGTTACACGGGATGAGTTATACTATAAAGTTTGTTAGATGAAATAGACTTTATTATATCTTTATGTTTTATTGGTGAGGAACACTATCGAATCCATTGCGGAGACTACCGCAGAATTTAAGATAGTTACCCTTTCGTTATTATACAAAACTAGCTTTACCATTGTGTGTTCTAATACACAGTTCTATCTGCATAAACATGTTATATACATTTTAGTCATTTAATGAAAAATACTTGTGTACACTGCAATTCCAAAGCTAGACTCACTCTGACACAATGCTGTTGATCAAATGTTGAATGACTAGGATGAATATCTCTGTAATAGACAGACTTGCCATGATCTCCTTAGAAGCTTTTAAAAAAAAACACCTTTTAAGATATTCTCAGAAATATGAAGATAAGCAGCGAATGTACTCATTTCTGGCAATGTATCCTTCATAACTGATTGCAATTCATTTTTGGTGACTTTTACCATCAAAACAAAATTGGGAAAATAACACAACATTTTTTTTCTTGAAGTTATCCGTCACAAATTTGTTAGGTTACAAAAATTGTGATAGTCAATGACCCTGAATTAGGATAATCAGATCCTTGAAATTTTCAGAATAATCTTTAACAGTTTTTCAGATACACATCATTATTTTTAGTAAAAATTAAATTTCATGAGGTAGTAACTATATAACGGCTCTTTTCCACTCATTTTTGGAGAGGGCCTTTTTATCTCAAATTGGGAAGAAAATTTATCAGTTGAGTAGATGTAGATATTACGTCAGACTCATGAGCAAAGAAACTCCAACAAGTTAACAAAAAAATGTACATCTGAAACTCATTCAGCCGTGAATGTCATGTCACCAGAAAAGGTGAAACAACAAAGGGGCATGCTTGTGTGAAGATAAAATCTGTAGGCAATTTGAGATATACTTAAAAAATTATCCAACAATGTCTGGACATATATTTAGAAGGAATCTATCAAATGATTCAAGGAAAAATATAATTTTTAAGTTATAAATCTTAGAAGCTGAAATCTAGCAGTGCCAAATAAACTAATGATCTTACTAAAATTCATTCCTAGGTATTTCTCACAAACTCAGTGCTAACCGATGTAAAAGTATGGCAACTAATGCTTATACATAAACAATAAAATTCCTCGCACACAAATAGTTTTCATTGGTGAGTCAATAAAGCACACAAAAACTAAAACATTCTGAATAAGTGTTTAAAAAAACAAAAAAACTGCCAACTGTCCATTCAGTTTGCTCTCCCACATACATCATACTTCATCATACTCAGTTATTTTCCTCCTTTTCTCTACACATAATCAAAACACAACAAAATTTATTTTGAGACATATATCTGGCCCTATATACAGTAGTGATATGAAATCCTTACCCTTAGTGTAGCAATCTAGTGTGTTTAGTGAGCGATTTTCCTCTACAAAATATTAAAAATGCAACCAATTCGTACAAAATTATGACACACTGAAGTATTTAAAACAAAAACAACTGGTTAATTATACCGTGTAATCACTTATAACTGCTATCACGATCTACTGTGAATGTCTTCAGTGTCTCGTCTTGTCATGTCTGTTACTGGTTGTTCCTTCTTGGAGTCGACACAGGACGCAACTTTGTCAAAATGGAAGAGATGTCCGCGAGCTGATCTTGAATATTTAGCATAAAACACCCAACCAATACAAATAAAGGAAAATGAGATTAAGATCAGAATTCCGAAAACTTCCGGGTCAGGTGCAATGATGACCATTAAAAACTTCAACATATCTGAACATTGATTCAGTGAACTTTGAACTCCGTTGACAATTCCACGCTCACGTTCGCTGACAGCTTCAAGGAAAAGCTGTGTAATGGTAAGGTCTGCTATCCAAAGTCCTGAATAAAATAAAAAGTATTTCAAGATTTTCAAATTCTCATAATGTAAAGGCCATATAAGACAAGCCCAGTTTTAGCAAAATTGTCATCAAATGTTATTATTGTTTTGTGATAAGCCCACCTCCTTACTTTTAGACGGAAGAATCATCTTGTCCCCCCTGCCCAAGTGTCCTGTAATAAACCTACCTCCTTACTTTTATACAGTGGTAATACCTTACCCCCTGGACTTATTCTACAGTTATAAGCCTACCTCCTTACTTAAGACAGAGGTAATGCCTTACCCCCTGGACTTATTCTACAGTTATAAGCCTACCTCCTTACTTCAGACAGAGGTAATGCCTTACCCCCTGGACTTATTCTACAGTTATAAGCCTACCTCCTTACTTCAGACAGAGGTAATGCCTTACCCCCTGGACTTATTGTACAGTTATAAGCCTACCTCCTTACTTTAGACAGAGGTAATGCCTTACCCTCTGGACTTATTCTACAGTTATAAGCCTACCTCCTTACTTTAGACAGAGGGAATGCCTTACCCTCTGGACTTATTCTACAGTTATAAGCCTACCTCCTTACTTAAGACAGAGGTAATGCCTTACCCCCTGGACTTATTCTACAGTTATAAGCCTACCTCCTTACTTCAGACAGAAGTAATGCCTTACCCCCTGGACTTATTCTACAGTTATAAGCCTACCTCCTTACTTCAGACAGAGGGAATGCCTTACCCCCTGGACTTATTCTGCAGTTATAAGCCTACCTCCTTACTTTAGACAGAGGGAATGCCTTACCCCCTGGACTTATTCTACAGTTATAAGCCTACCTCCTTACTTCAGACAGAGGTAATGCCTTACCCCCTGGACTTATTCTACAGTTATAAGCCTACCTCCTTACTTCAGACAGAGGTAATGCCTTACCCCCTGGACTTATTGTACAGTTATAAGCCTACCTCCTTACTTTAGACAGAGGTAATGCCTTACCCCCTGGACTTATTGTACTGTTATAAGCCTACCACCTTACTTTAGACAGAGGGAATGCCTTACCCCCTGGACTTATTGTACAGTTATAAGCCTACCTCCTTACTTCAGACAGAGGTAATGCCTTACCCCCTGGACTTATTCTACAGTTATAAGCCTACCTCCTTACTTCAGACAGAGGTAATGCCTTACCCCCTGGACTTATTGTACAGTTATAAGCCTACCTCCTTACTTCAGACAGAGGTAATGCCTTACCCCCTGGACTTAATGTACAGTTATAAGCCTACCTCCTTACTTTAGACAGAGGAAATGCCTTACCCCCTGGACTTATTGTACAGTTATAAGCCTACCTTCTTACTTCAGACAGAGGAAATGCCTTACCCCCTGGACTTATACTACAGTTATAAGCCTACCTCCTTACTTCAGACAGAGGTAATGCCTTACCTCATGTGTTAATTGTACAATCTTAATTAGAATAAAACACAGCAATTTTTTCTCTTTACTTATTAACAAAGATAATTTGGTGAACAATCAACTGCCCTTGAATAAATTGATGTTGATTTTGTTAAGATAAAACTCAGAAGACTATAAACACGATCATTACTTAAAAATTTTAAAAATATCTTAAAATACTTATAAGTTTTCCCAGTATTAAACCTGTGATCTGATCTATATCATAAAGAACTTTTTGATAATCTACTCACCAAACCTGGCACCAATAATTCCTCCCATTAGCAGTGAAATAGAGATGTAAGAATCTGGCCCTGAATTTGTCTCATCTCCTGTTCCATTACATATAACACTGTGATTGGCTATCAAATCAGAGGTGTAATTGTAACCCAAACTTGTTTCATTGTTTAGAACATTTATTGTGAGATTTGTATCAATAATGCTGAAGTTTCCACATTTATCTTGGGTTGTTATCTCCCCTTTTGGAACTTTTGACTTGTAGAGAAGGTCGAATGGACTGCCAGGTGCCCAGATAGCAGCAACACACAATGTAAGGATTAGAATCTCTGTCAGAAATCCAAATAATCCGGTCCTTTCCAAGCCGATGCGTTTCCGGATATGAGGATAAGCAATGGTTCCGAGGATTCCTACAATAGCACCTGCTGCCATTAGAAGTCCCAATATAGACTCGGAGACACCCTGAGAAATAGCATAACCTGAAACAGGAAAAAGGATATATATAAAAACAGTCTCTTTATTAAACTATACTCAGAATTCTTATTACATCTGATCCCTATTTTTCTATAAAATACAAATTATTCTCAAATAGTCAGTTGGTTGATCGGTTATGGATTTTTCATCTCCATGACACTTCCTATCACTAGGCCTTGTCTACTATTTTCCATCTCCATGACACTTCCTATCACTAGGCCTTGTCTACTATTTTACATCTCCATGACACTTCCTATCACTAGGCCTTGTCTACTATTTTACATCTCCATGACACTTCCTATCACTAGGCCTTGTCTCACTAACAAATGTCAGTACCAGAATTTCTGGATGTCATGTTTCACAACATCTGATTGGCTTGTTACATGGTTAAATTAATTAATTTTGCAGCTAAATATCAGTTTATAACATCACATACAAATCTGACCCATTGTAAGCTTATTGTGAATTAGACATGATTTCTCACAACAAACAATAAAAGCATTCAAAAAAATAGCTTTAAGGCAAAAACATATCAAATTACTATATTTTTATTTTGAAAAAAGTCTGTTGGCACATAAGAAGTTCACCTTTGAAAAAAATGTGTCAACTATTAATGTCATATTATGTTTATTATCACAATTTCTCTTGACAAATGACGCATAATATCAAACGGTTTCCACTGTAATATAAATCACAATACCTGAACACTGACATCAAAGTTGAAAATATATAAAATCACAAACTGAATTAAAACTATGGAGCAAGCTGCCCCATTCTGAAACCATACCAGAACAATTCATTTATAATCAAATAATATTTTGTTTCAGAAGAGAATCACATATGTCTTATTTAAAGGAAAAATAGAACAGAGACAACCACATAGGGAAAACTGATATCTAGTTAAAAAAAGATCAATTTGGTAGAAATATTGAACAATTGAATTAAGATGTGGATGATCAACTTACCACTTGTTATGTTATCAAATCCTAATACAGTCATGTACAGCATCGACAGGCCAAGGCCAGCAAAAGCAACGTCATACTTCATGTAAGTACTCCAGCCACGATACAAAATTATAAAACTTTTGAAAACTTTTCCTAAACAATTACAACATTTCCCCTGACAACTTGGATCTTCATCTTCATCTTCTCCTGACATGCTTTTTATAGCATTTTCTGTTTTAAGGCTGGTTTCATCAAGGTCCAACGGATGCTTGTTTTGGTTATATACACTACTGGCCTCTTCAAGGTCTTCATTAACAGTGATTTGTTCTCCCTCTTTCATCAATGGAGAATCTTTATCTGCTGGCTCTTCCTCAATAGATTTACGACCTGCAAGATATTAAACTTGATAAATTGACAATGTCATATCTGATGTAATGGATCCTTTGGAAACATATTTAATCATACTGAATAAGTTATCACCCTTCATGGGTTAGGTTTGGAAATGTAACACATACCGGTAACATTTATGAAATATTTCGTAACATAAACTTTCTACACACTTTCCTCTTAATTATGAACAAAAAGGTAAACCTCCCATTTCATTTTAAGACACTTTAAAACTGAATTACATTCTCATTTCAGATATATATTGTATTGATTTTGCACTAATGACAAAAGCCCAGATTCTCAACCTTAGACCTTGGTTTCCATTATAAAAACTTGTACTTTTTCTGTGGCAGATCTAAGAATAAACTAATTTTTGTCTGTGACATCAGTAATTGAACTACCCTTTGTCTGTGACAGGTCAATAATAGAACTACCCTTTGTCTGTGACAGCTCAATAACAGAACTTTCCTTTGTCTGTGACAGGTCAATAATAGAACTGCCCTTCATCTGTGACACACAACGGGATATCTACCATTTAATAATGATAATTTAAGAGTTTACAGTGTAAATAACACTCACCTTTGTTTTTAACTGCTCTTAAAGCTGGCACTTCCTCATAGACTTTTAAAACAAAGACATATTCAATCACAACTGACACCAGATTCCATGCGGCTATAAAGAGAGCACCATAGCCAATCACTGTGAAGGCAATGATCTGTCCGGTGACAACAGGCGCCAAGATCAAGGTCGTAAGGTCAATGGATCTCAAGAACGAGGTCATACCTACAACCAAAATTATTATCTTTTACAATCGCTCTGTTACAAGAGACACCATGATCAATGACATTATCTGGTAAACACCTTTCTGTAATGATATGACAGTGCCAATCAATGAGACACCGGGATCAATGACATTATCTGGTAAACACCTTTCTGTAATGATATGACAGTGCCAATCAATGAGACACCGGGATCAATGACATTATCTGGTAAACACCTTTCTGTAATGATATGACAGTGCCAATCAATGAGACACCGGGATCAATGACATTATCTGGTAAACACCTTTCTGTAATGATATGACAGTGCCAATCAATGAGACACCGGGATCAATGACATTATCTGGTAAACACCTTTCTGTACTGATATGACAGTGCCAATCAATGAGACACCGGGATCAATGACATTATCTGGTAAACACCTTTCTGTAATGATATGACAGTGCCAATCAATGAGACACCGGGATCAATGACATTATCTGGTAAACACCTTTCTGTAATGATATGACAGTGCCAATCAATGAAACGTTCAATGTACTACTGCATATAATCTGCAATAATCTCGGGAAGTCAACATGTAGCTTCTGATTCTTACAACAAGACAATAATGTAACATTTTCTGACATTACACTACTAAAACTGGAACAGATGTAGGCGGGCTTATAACAAAATCAATATGATATGTGTGTTAATCTTTTATGTAACTCAAAAGTTCATCATACTATTAATACGATCTTTACCAGGGTCTCAATGTCTTATGTATGAATAAAGTTCTATTTCAATAACAGTAGATCAAGGTAAAGTTTTCACGTTTCTTAAGCTGTTGTTATTTAAAGGCTAATACTTGTACAGAAGTTTTTAAATTTGGGTCTACATTTAATGGAAGGTTAATTTCCAAGTTTATAACTGTAAAAATATCATCTAAAGACAGTAAAAAATGTGTTGTGATTAGTTTTTCATACTTGCAAGCAAGTCTTTATCCCGCCCACAAATAACGACAATCCAATCCCGTTCCACTGCAATTTTGCGTCCTTCACTGGCCAGATTTCCTATTATTGAGAAGATGATGATGATGGCATAGGACAAGTCAGCCAAACCCTGCTGTGGCCAAATTTCCTTTATCTCATCTTGGTACTGGAACACGAAGTACACAAGAACAGAACACAAGCACACGCTCAAATTCTGTATCATCAATGTCCACTTCGCCGCTGAGGAAACAAAAATTAATGATTGGTAACGAGGTACTAAAGTAGTATCTGTTGCTATGGAAACAAACGTCTGGATGACAGCTTACACTTCACCATGTCGAAATTGTACATTGTTTTCAAGAGTAGAATCAACAGCAAAAATGTCCTGTGAAGCTGATGAAGTCTCACATCTAAAGGTAAAAGTAGTTGGATAATGAACTTGATGTAACCCAAGAGATAAACCTTTATCAACACTTTAATGAGCTACATCATGTTCCACTGAAAACTACTCTCACTTTCTCAGACGCAACAGGTAGAAAATTGCATTATTTTTTTTAATTCTTTATCCCTGTTTGAAGGAGAACATCATACTTTATCTGCAATGCCCACACACATGATAAATCATCTCACCAGAAAGTCTGGCCGTCCTGTCAACCCAGTCGCCGACAATGGCCCCTAGTAACAAGATAGCACCGCCATTAGCAAATCCATACACAGCAACCAGTCTCAAGGATATTGGCTCCAACTGAACGAGGAATATTCCCACTCCAAACGACCACATCCTGTCGCCCTGAAACCATAAAGATCAATTCATGTCACCCGTAACACATACTGTTTAACATGAAATGTCCACAGGTTCTTTCATTTGGGTTTTGTAAAAGTGAATTATTCAGACCCAGATGCTGCTTTTTCTTATCAAACTAAAACTCAAACTGATTTTTCAAAGACAACACAGTGAACATCCATCTACAAGCAAGTTATCTAGTTTGTAACTTTCTGTAGACTTTTTAAATTTGTTAATTGAATTTGTTTCTTAATTGAGTCTGTAAAACAAAATATGTTAAACACCAAAGAAATCTAAAAATTTACCATTATTTACTAGTAAAAGTATACGACTGAAGTCATTATATATATAGAGAAGTGAATTCTTGATACAAACCCAGGCAGACAGGAAGTGGCTGATGTAAACAAACCATCGGGTTCTAGCCTCTAACTTCTCCTTGGCTGGAAAAAAAACAAAACAAAATATAGAAAAATAAAAATAAATACAATGTATTGTAATCTTTAAAATTACTGACCTCTTTTGTTGAAAAAAAAAAATATCACAGGATAATCAAGGATTTTGAGAGATGTCACAGGAGAGATAAAAACGGAAAATTCAGAGCAACATTACAAATAGACTGAATCATACAAGTTCTTTAACACCAACTCTGAATTTTGTTCTTAAATCCTGAGAACAAAAGCAAGTCTTTTATATGTATGTTTTTTTCAGCTTTAGTAGTTGTCCAGTATGCCAAAATTATATGTTGGTGTAATATTTCAATTTAAAGAGAAACATTAGCAAACTCTAATTTTTAGTAAACAACCATTACTTGTCTTAGTTTCAACAGCCCAGTCTGGTCACGAACATTGATTTTGTCCGAAAACTGACATCTGAAGAGAAACTAAATCCTGATTATATTTCTACGTAATTATATTTCAATAAAACAAGAGGCCCACGGGCCTTAACAGTCCTCTGACTACAAAAACTTTCAGCAGGGAGAAGGTCAGATGACCTAGTTTGATGCCTATTAGAATGTTTCATTCTCACCTTTCTCTTCTTTGAGCCATGTGTTATAATCCTGTTTAAACCCTGTTGTGGAGGTAAAGCCGTTTTCCCCGTCACTGCTAATGTCACTTTTCAATAAACTAGTTTCTTCCTCTCTCTGACTTTTAGAAGGCATTATCAATTAAGTCCGATGCTAGTACTTAAAATCTCTTTACATTACAAATTGTTTGGTCTCTCTAGTCATCAGGACGGACCTGTATCTCAGAAATGTTTATAAAAGGCCAACCCAACAAATATTTGGTTCAAAGTTGTGCTCAGCATATAATCTATAATTTTTTCACAGGAAAGTTCTCAAAAGTTCAGTACCCTAAATTGGAGATTCCTAAAAAAAATCAAAATGCTCTTTTTACCTGGAATTTCATTATATGCAGAAGCAACCATGCACAAAACATCACATTGTTATCACTATACCTGACTGAAACCTTCAAATATAGATTATCAATAGAACAATATGTATTCAACCAAGCAGTCAACAAAGGCTGGTAATCATTGAGGCTGAATCTGGTTCCCTGACAAAAAATGGTGTGTGATGGACCAAGTCAAAGATGTTAGGAAGATGTAGAAACATCAGGACATCATCATTTATAGATCATCATCAACAATAACAATCAAACCCCCCTCCCCCCTCCTCTCCACCCAACCTCTGTAACTGTAACATTTCTATTTAACTCTGGGAACTTTTTAATTGAAAATTCCCTGTTTCGACATCACACAACTTAATTTTGAATTGGCCTTTTTTATACGGTTGTATGATAGACGTATGACTCAAGAACAAAATTTGATTTTATCAACACCACTTGTTCTGATACGTGTTCGTGCATATTCAAATTTTGTCCTAACTTCCCACTAAGTAAATTTCTAGTACGCTACTTTGTACATCTTCTGTACCTTTCCTAAGTGACATATCAATACTAACTCGGATTTGGATCTGCGAATTCTCTCTAATTGAAATATTTAAGCATTTCAACAGATGTTTATAAATCATTTATGACCATTAACTTATTGAATAATAGATTGGGACAAACTTTACAAAGCACCAATGCTTTCAAATCACAAAATTTTGTTTGATATTCGAAGAAACTGATAATCTGTTGACATTGACCTTATAATAGGTTAGAAAATAACTTGTAACCTAAAATAGACATGCTCAGTTAATCAAAATGAGAGCCACATCCTTACTTAAATCTTGTATCCAGATTTACAGCATATTACACATAAATGTCTTGGCAACAAAATTTAATCTTTAAGAGTTTCAAAACAGTTTTTTTCTTGGAATATAAATTAATGAAAGTGATAATTACAAGTAAACATCTGTTTTGATATAAATTCAATAAACATTTGTGACAATATCACAATTTATGATGGTCCTAGTAAGTGACCCAGAAACTGTTATGTGAAATACAGTTGATTTCAGTATATATACAGTTATCTCCAGAAATGAATATAATTATGTACTATCATCCTGGTACTTTGGTTGTGTAACGTCACGATTGGCTCACTTCATGCAGAGAATGTAAAGGCAACTAATAACTCATTCATGTTCATGAATGACTACCACGAAGTTCGTGTCTGGGCATCTTTACTTGGTCCAATATATATACTTTTGAAGAGACTTGCTCACTGGATACATGTACAAGAAAAACATCTTTTAAATATAAGGTAAAAAAATACTTTCCTTACTTCATTCAGGGTTAAAACTAACAATATTGTTTTTTATTATTATTATTTGTAACCTGTCATGAATTCAAATTTTTCAATCAGTAAAGTATGCTAACTGTTGTACGCTCAGTGTTAATAACTTAAGGAACAGATATTTAGTCTCTGAATTTAGAATGGCGTCTATCCTTGTGATAGGAAATCAGCTTGATTCCAGAACTTATAATCACTTAAAATCTGACAGGCTGTTCAATGTGGTTAATCAGTTACATGACCTGCAGACTGAGTGTTCTATATTCATCGGGCTGTTCAATGTGGTTAATCAGTTACATGATCTGCAGACTGAGTGTTCTTTATTCATCGGGCTGTTCAATGTGGTTAATCAGTTACATGATCTGCAGACTGAGTGTTCTATATTCATCGGGCTGTTCAATGTGGTTAATCAGTTACATGATCTGCAGACCGAGTGTTCTATATACATCGGGCTGTTCAATGTGATTAATCAGTTACATGATCTGCAGACCGAGTGTTCTATATACATCGGGCTGTCCGATGTGGTTAATCAGTTACATGATCTGCAGACCGAGTGTTCTATATTCATCGGGCTGTTCAATGTGGTTAATCAGTTACATGATCCGCAGACCGAGTGTTCTATATACATCGGGCTGTTCAATGTGGTTAATCAGTTACATGATCCGCAGACCGAGTGTTCTATATTCGCAATTAATCAGTTACATGATCTGCAGACAGAGCGTTCTATATTCATAGAAATGAATGCTTTCTCTATTGCAGTAATCTTTATTTTTTGTTTCTTTATCCTAAAAATTTTTGCATAAGAATAAATTATTGGCAGCTGGCATCTTAATTATGAATAACATAGAATTTTTTTTTGCTACAACAGAAAAAATATTATGGTAATGATTATGAACGAGAGATCCCAGATGGATCTTGGTGCCCACCAAGATGGCTACCTGTCGACTATTTGGTTTTTTTCGTTAGTCCCAAGATCAGACAGGCATTACTAGGGACCAAGGCGAATCTACATTGAAATTTCAGAAAGATCTATCCAGTACTTCTCACGAAATAGTGATAAAACACTTGCAAAGTCAAAATTAAAGATGGCCACCTGTCAGCCATTTTTTTTTCCTGATCAGATCCAAAATCAAATAAGGGACCAAAGGGAACCTACATATGAAACTTAAGAAAGATTTATCAGGTATTTTTCAAGAAGTAGTCATAACAAACTTCATTGAAAAAATCCAAGATGGCATCCTGTCAGCCATCTTGTTTTCCTGACCAGTCCCAAAATCAAATGGGCACAACTATAGACAAAGGCGAACCTACATATGAAATTTGAGAATAACCATCCTGTACTTCTCTAGAAATAGCGAATACAAAAAATACAGACAAAATTACCTTTGTGCAAGGAAGCACCATATCAACATTATAATTCATTGTAAGCAATATGTTTCTGCAGGAGTACTGTTTGTATCAATGAAACTTCATGAATATTGTGTCTCAAAAGACCCGGATGTGAGATAACTAACAGCAACCACTGGAAAACATGGCCTATAGTCTGTCACAATGTGTAAAGTCCGGTGCTGGGGCTAGAGGAAACATAGATCAGTCAAGAGTATGGTTACTGAAATCTCTTACCGAGATTCCTAGGAGAGCTGTATAAATGAAACAGATGTAATTACACTATAACTTATATTGAGCAGTTTCTAATTAAGGCATTTTTACAGTACCAAGTCAATGTGGTTTGGTAATGGAAACTTTGGGAGTACAAATGGAAGAAATAAAGTGGAGAAGCACCCTGCTGTAACTCTTTTTCTTTATTTCAACCACCAGTGTTTGTAGGTACAAGCTGTGAAGGATAATTTAAAAGTTTGAAAAAGTATGCTTATATCCTACCACCCCTAGAGCAGCAACCCTGTCGTCACTAGCAGGATACTCTACCACTTGAACCTAAGGCAAATTCCTACTAGCCAAGGCTAGAAGGGCGACCTGTATTCTCAACTTCTACACATATTAGACTTCTTATGCTTGAATCACCATTTCAAAAGGACTTTTTGCCTAGTGTTTTTGAGCTGTATATCTTTAAGTCATGAAAAGTTTTTGACTCGCAAACCAAATGTTAAAACCTGGCTTTCACTTGGGATGAGTATGTTTTCGTCGTAGTGGTAGAATGCAACATGAGACTTTTTTGGGTTGGATTAAAAACAGAGCAAGAGCTTTCTTCTTGAAGTCTTTCTGCTGATGTTGAACGAAAAGCTTCTTGTGCAAGACACAGTCCTTAATCATGAACTGTGGACTTCAAAATTGGAAAAATTCCACTACATTTAGGGGAAAATGTTAAACTATATGATTACATTTTTATTCTATTGATGACTTTGCTGATTAATGTGTATTATCCTCACTATACAGGTATATATTGTTCAGGCCATCATTTGTGATCTTTTTTCTCATTAAATTTTTTTTTTTTAATATCGTATAATACACCATTATCTTGTGTGTGTATTCTAATTTCAGAAAGACATACATTTAGCTGTAATGATAAAATACAGTGATTATGATACGATAAACGTCTTTTCTCCAGGTCCAGTACAATAATGACTACATGTACAACCATATTGGGCATGTTCGCTACCAACATAACAGACAACTACAATGTGCAGTGACCGAAGTGCTGAGCACCTCGACATAGCTGAACCTCAGAAGGTAGAACATCACTCAACCGCACAGCCACAAAAGCCAGATGAAGGACATAGGTGCACTGCGAACCTGTTTATGGACAAGTCTCTAGATTGTTACAATTATGTGCTACTGTTATGTTGGAATTTTAAAGCTGGAACCCAATATAATTTTGTAACTATTCTATGTAGGTCTAGCAATTGCTTTCCAATGAAAAGAAAGCGTGGGCTGAAGCAATGAGGAAACCTTCCATACATTGTTATAAGAACCTCTTACCTCGAACCCCACTGTACCTCCATATGTAAACCACAAACACTATATCAATGCAAACCTAATACACACTGTATATCTATACAAACCTCCCACACACTGTATATCTATACAAACCTCTCACACACTGTATATCTACACAAACCTCCCACACACCGTATATCTATATATACCTCTCACACACTGTATATCTACACAAACCTCCCACACACTGAGTGTCTATACAAACCTCTCACACACTGTATATCTATACAAACCTCTCACACACTGTATATCTATACATACCTCTCACACACTGTATATCTATACATACCTCTCACACACTGTATATCTATACAAACCTCTCACACACTGTATATCTACACAAACCTCTCACACACTGTATATCTATACAAACCTCCCACACACTGTATATCTATATATACCTCTCACACACTGTATATCTACACAAACCTCCCACACACTGTATATCTACACATACCTCCCACACACTGTATATCTATACAAACCTCTCACACACTGTATATCTACACACTGTACAAACCTCTCACACACTGTATATCTACACACAACCTCCTCACACACTGTATATCTATACAAACCTCTCACACACACAAACCTCTCACACACTGTATATCTACACACTGCAACCTCTCACACACTGTATATCTATACAAACCTCTCACACACTGTATATCTACACAAACCACACTCTCACACACTGTATATGTATATCTATACAAACCTCTCACACACTGTATATCTATACAAACCTCTCACACACTGTATATCTATACAAACCTCTCACACACTGTATATCTATACAAACCTCTCACACACTGTATATCTATACAAACCTCTCACACACTGTATATCTATACAAACCTCTCACACAATGTATATCTACACAAACCTCTCACACAATGTATATCTACACAAACCTCCCACACACTGTATATCTACACAAACCTCTCACACACTGTATATCTACACAAACCTCTCACACAATGTATATCTACACAAACCTCTCACACACTGATTGTCTATACAAACCTCTCACACACTGTATATCTATACATACCTCCCACACACTGTATATCTATACATACCTCCCACACACTGTATATCTACACAAACCTCCCACACACCGTATATCTATATATACCTCTCACACACTGAGTGTATATCTATACAAACCTCCCACACACTGTATATCTATACATACCTCTCACACACTGTATATCTATACATACCTCTCGCACACTGTATATCTATACATACCTCTCACACACTGTATATCTATACAAACCTCTCACACACTGTATATCTATACATACCTCTCACACACTGTATATCTATACAAACCTCCCACACACTGTATATCTATACATACCTCTCACACACTGTATATCTATACAAACCTCCCACACACTGTATATCTATACAAACCTCCCACACACTGTATATCTATACAAACCTCCCACACACTGTATATCTATACAAACCTCTCACACACTGTATATCTATACAAACCTCTCACACACTGTATATCTATACAAACCTCCCACACACTGTATATCTATACAAACCTCCCACACACTGTATATATACATACCTCTCGCACACTGTATATCTATACAAACCTCCCACACACTGTATATCTATACATACCTCTCACACACTGTATATCTATACAAACCTCCCACACACTGTATATCTATATATACCACTCACACAATGTATATCTATACAAACCTCTCACACACTGTATATCTACACAAACCTCTCACACACTGTATATCTATACAAACCTCCCACACACTGTATATCTACACAAACCTCCCACACACTGTATATCTACACAAACCTCTCACACAATGTATATCTATACATACCTCTCACACAATGTATATCTACACAAACCTCCCATACACTGTATATCTATACAAACCTCTCACACACTGTATATCTATACAAACCTCTCACACCCTGTATATCTACACAAACCTCCCACACACTGTATATCTATACAAACCTCTCACACACTGTATATCTATACAAACCTCCCACACACTGTATATCTATACAAACTCTCACACACGGTATATCTATACAAACCTCTCACATCTGATGGAAGTTTGTTACATAGTTATAATACAGGGAGATTTGGTTTTTGTTTTTTAAACTTCAGAAACTTGAATGATAAATGATGTGTCATTTTCAAAATGTTGATCAGTTCCATGACAAGTATTAAGGAGTATTGGCAGTCCCTCAAGTAAAGTATGAATATATACTCGAAATACATTCATCTTTTAATCTGCCCCAAAATAGTAGTTCTTCTCAGGGCAATAGCTAATTAGCATATACTTCAATGCTATGGCCGGCATGCCTGTCCATCATGCTATATTGTACAGTTCACATTATAATCCAAACAAGTGTTACAAACTCACCTAAGTTCATCAGGACAACCTGATATGGCCATATCATGACCTGATTATACTGTAAAAACTGCTAGAAATGCCTGTGATGTTTCTGTACTTTTTTATCAGTAATCCGAAAGTTTCAAATTCATGTTTTTGGATCTAATATCATCAAAATAATCAAATGATGTTCAAATATAACATAGAACATCATATTATTGCCAACAGATGTGATAACTATACAAAATCATTTATCTTTCAACCCGTTGACCCTTTATGTATCGTCTTGACATCAGTTCTAGACCGTTACATATTTTGGAAAGGTCATTTTGTAATGACATATAACATGCACTTATCACTTGTTTGACCCGGTTAATTTTGGTTGCTATTACATTTCACGCTTCCATTAAGAACAAAAGATTGTGATTTAAACCATTCATCTTCAAACATTTTGAGTAAATGTTTTATGGCAATTTTGTGTATTTTTTCTTAATACACATTTTTGCACGTTTAACATACTCCCAGATATGAAATAACCAATCCATCCATTCTTGGATGCAAGTGTTCTGTTGTCGTCTGTCAAGTGAATGAACATTTTATGTCTGGATCTGTGGGGTTGTTTTTTTTTTTTTTTTTTAGAAAAATACTTGTTTTACCAATCAGTTTTTTTAAAATAAATCGTATAGTATGAACACATTTGAATTCATTTATGTATTTGTTGTGTAGCAATTTGTCGACAAAGCGTAGCAACCGAGAAAGGTTTCTTTTGGGTCCGAAACTAATGCGTCAAGGATGCATTGTCACCTTCAATTTTGAAGGCCATGGCATGATCAGATATAATTTGACAATAGTTTTTTTTACAAAGCTATCGAGGGGTATTGCATCGTTTGTAAAGCATACATTTGAAATCGGTGTTTCCAAATCACACTCTGTTGGCAGTTTACAATATATGCCGATTAACCTATTTCATTTGTTCGTTTGCACGAAACGGCCCCTATAATGCACTGGTATATATCTGCCGATTGTGCATGTATGTAACTTCACTAACTGGCACTGTAATGCAGATGTCATGGCCTACTCACCCATCCTAATTATGAAGTTATGTGGATGATATTTGAATGCATCATAGGAGAGCGACCTGGTGGGCAGAATCTGGAATGTTACCAAAAAAAACCACCCGTCAAATATTGTTCCATTTGTCTAGCGTGGTTTACAATCGGTGTCAAACAAATGCTTTAAATCATTATCGCTCAAACGCTCTATGTAAAATTTCCCGCGGGATTTCAAACACACAAAAACAAGAGATTGAGTTTAGAATAAGGTTTTAAAGATTTAGGAAGAACATATTTCAATATAAAATGAATTCCAACGTGATAAGAAGACCTCTTCCTCTTCCAAGTGTGCTATAGAGCTGAACATCAGCCGGGTTGTTAGGGAACGGATGCATACATAATGCTGCTGTTCGGCCTCCTAGCATTTTGTAACATGATTGAGCATAATCTGTATTTTCCCCTGTAAAACTTTTCTAAAATTATATTCAAGTTTCATCAGTCATATTCAGCTGAAATGATCCTGAGATGGTCTGAAAACACTTTGTTATTTTTCGGGTTGATCCCGAAAATCCAGTAGGCCTATATCTATGGTCGCCATTTTGATTTCATTTTAAACCAATTGTGTAAATTTTCAGTTTCGCACAAACTTTGACAAGGCAATCTGTAACATGATATAAGTTATTCGCTTTCTTTTCTTTTCATCATCCAGTTAAACTTTTTAAAATGCCGCCGCGCCGGTGAGATACAGCTCAAATTTGCCTGAAATGATCCCTAGACGGTCCTGACTAGCGTTGTGATATTTTGGGTTAGTTGCAAACGAATTGACCATATCATGTGACCTGCTCACATGATTAACATGATAGAATCAATTAATATTTCGTTAACTTTGATAAGTATTTAAAACTTTCATTTTTTATAAATTTTGGATTTAATAACGTTATAATGTTCAAATAAAACGCAGAACAGCATCTCAATGTCAATGGTTGTGATAACTATACAATAGAAATGATTATAAGGTCATTTTACCTGATGACCCTTTGATGCACACTGTGACCCTTGATATTTAACACCTTGACCAGATATTATTTACCGAGAGGTTGGCGAGACTGACAACACCTATTTTAAACGTTATCTCCTGTTTTAGTGGTACATTGATAGGAAAACTGAGATTTTGCAATAAACACACAAGCGAATAACACATAATTTACAGTTTGATACAGTAGAGCCAAACAAGGAATTACACTGCATCATACAGCTGTTTCGTCCTTCTAGGGCTCGTCAGTGATGCTACATCATACAGCTGTTTCGTCCTTCTAGGGCTCGTCAGGGATGCTGTATCATACAGCTGTATCGTCCTTCTAGGACTCGTCAGTGATGCTACATCATACAGCTGTTTCGTCCTTCTAGGACTCGTCAGTGATGCTACATCATACAGCTGTTTCGTCCTTCTAGGGCTCGTCAGGGATGCTGTATCATACAGCTGTATCGTCCTTCTAGGACTCGTCAGTGATGCTACATCATACAGCTGTTTCGTCCTTCTAGGACTCGTCAGTGATGCTACATCATACAGCTGTTTCGTCCTTTTAGGGCTCGTCAGGGATGCTGCATCATACAGCTGTTTCGTCCTTCTAGGGCTCGTCAGTGAGTAAGGGCTTGACATTTTGAAGACTAGGAGGCGAATAGTGAAAATCCAAAGTTATCGAAAGAAAAGTCAAAATCTAGACGGGGGGAGGTGCAGCAGCCCCCATCATTAGATAAATTTCATATATTAGACAATCTTAGATTAGCGACAAATATATGAGAAACTAAAATCCCCGGTTGGTAAAGCTAGAACTGTTTTATCTTTTTAACAACTGTTTCTAATACAGTATTCATGTCCTATGGTCACATGACCGCTGTTTCCGTAAGTGACTTGAAGAAACACTGGGAAGGCCCGACAAAGAGAATTCTATTTTATTTCTTGGTCTTCGAAAAAAATGGATAAAATTATAAAGACAAGCACAACAACCCCTCATTCTAAATAATGAAAAATACACCATTATTCTCTATCAAAGCAAAACGTCTTACGAAAAGTTAATGAATACCATATTTCAAGTTTAAATCGATACCTACACTGTGCAGTTTAAAACTGTCATAGCCAGAGATAACATGTTCGATCAAATATATATATATGTCTAATATACGTCAAATCTATTTCGCGTGCATGTCTCTTTTGTACAAATACTTAATTTATCTGTAACATTAGGCATGTCACCTGATCGTTGTCAAACATGTGGGTCTTTTGTGAGTCCGGTGATAACAGTTCCTAAAATATTGTGACTTATACAGTTAAATATAAAAGTATGAAAACATATATTGTGTTGTTTGATATAAACCAAAATAAGGTCTCAGAACAATTTTAACTAGACACGTCGGAGCCTCTAATCATTTTATTTGGTTAAACCCTATCAAGAGTTTTGGACAATGAATGATATCTAGCGTTGATTGGAATATTTTGGTATCGGGATAAAAGTTTTAATGTTCAGTAATCAGTTTGATATCGTAACATATCGCATTCAAACCAGAGAAATCGTGCCAACACATCGAGTTTAAGACTAGTTGTTAAAAATGTTTTGTTAATATTTCGGTCACAGGGCAAAGAAAACAACCACAGGTCCTCGTCCTTGTATTTATTTATTTATGAACCGGCAGATGGAAGAAAACCCTAGAAAAAAACGGCCTTATAAGAATACCTATTGGGGGGGGGGGGGGGGGTTGTGATGGGGTTTAGGGTGAGGGGAGTGGGGATGTTAAGTGTGGGTGCATGCCTTCATTTTGCGTTAAGATAACCAAACACTGGATAGCAGCAACAAGGAAGTGAAAAGAATACCGTTATAGGACCAAGACAATCAATTTAACAAGAACGATTTAGAAGATTTTTTTGATAATTCAGAAGTTACATGGATTTTCTGCTTGAATAGAACTCCATAACGGGTACCATTCATTCTTTTGTCTGGAACGAAACGCAAGTCCAGAAGGCCTAATATTTACTCACATTTTGAAGTTATAAACCTTTAGTGTATGTACGTATATATATATACGGGCAATTAATGCGCGTTAATGTTTGGCTGTTTACAATTAGGGACTTAATCTGAGTAGATCCAATTTTCAAAGAAAAAAAAAAACAAGCAAACAAATAAAATAAGACGGTATTTCTTTTTAAAGTTACCGGAAAAGTTAACGCACACACAGCAACAAGGTTTTATCCAGTCACTCTGACACACTTACGTGTGTAACAAGAGGTCACATACATATAATTTACATGATACGTGGCGTATGACAGGTACAATTACAACAATTTCTGTAAATGATAGTAATAATTGCTAACTATCGCATTCATGCATTAACAATTTTGGTACTTAAATTTGAACACTTAAATCAACAATTTATCAAGTTTTTCTATAAATCTACAAATTCTTGTAAATATTTTAACATTGAATATGTTAAACGATCCTTGCATTTTGATATGACTTGGGTAAGTAATATTTTGGTATATTTTTTTCTCTTAGACGTTTTACTAATTCGTTTTCGCATTTAAATAAATAGTGATATTCGTCTCCGATGTCGGAGTTACATAATGTGCAGAATCTTTCTTGACGAGGGATACCTGTCCATCTTCCTGTTTCTACAGGTAAACGCATATTTGAAGAACGAAATTTACACTTAATTTTCCTATCAATGGTATTAAGCTTGGTTAAGTATTTTTCTTGTTCAAACTTTGTCATAGTGAATTACTAAAAACACTACGGAACAAAGACAAAAAATCTTATTAATCGCAAAAGGGCTTAGATCAAGCTAAATTTAATTTTTAAAAAAAAAGACACTGGAACGACACTGTCAACTTGTACGTCTGAAAACTGGAATTGCTGTTTGTTTTTAATCAAATCTTATTTGTGAATGGTTCTACAGAATAACAGAAACTTTGTATGACGGTATTAGATATATATATATTTAATTCCGTGACTGTATTTCTCAATCTTACATTATAAATATAAACTTTATTTGTTTTACAACAATTGCGAAACAAGTTATTTAAACTTATACTAATCACTCTTGTTGGCCCGGATGTAATATATATATATATATATATATATATATATACCTTTTCACGTCCGTTCCGGGAATTCCGGCGAGTGCGTTAACACTGCGCCACCCGACCACACATTCATCTCTCCTTTTTCTATCCTATAGAACCCATAATGTTTGGGGTCTAAATATTACACAAAAGACAAACAAGTGAATAACAAGTTCTATATATATATTCAAAATCAGATGGAGTTTATACATTAGGTGACACGATAATACCTGACTCAATCTGTTATTAGAACATTTTTTTCGTCTTATTAGGATTTCATGCCATTAGCGTAACAATTATCACGAAATACAAAGAGGAAATTAAAATCTTGAATTTTATTCTTGCTGCAGGTTACAATGATAAAACTTCATGACAAATATATGTATGTCCCAAAAATGATATTTTCTAATCACAGGTGTCCATGCATTATATGTATTGTGCCCAGCCTCTAAAAATGTTCTTTAGAAAATGCTGGGAATGTAAGTAAACAACATAGTAAACAAACAAAGCAATAGTATTCCTTTATTGATCTCAAGAAAATATCGGTTCAAAATTAATTGTCTGCGATCATAAATTACAGTGGTATCAGGATTCTTTATTATAACGAATTGAAATCAAAACTATTACTTTAAATCACATGTTCATACACGTGTTTGTACACGAGCCATGAGATGACCGAACACCACAGGAAGTGTTTTTAGTTACCCATCATTGAAAAGATGTTGACAAAACATTGTTGTTTGTTGTCATAAAAAATATAGTATATCAGTTGCATTAAGGAAGATCAGAACATATCATTTACATTCGAAATACACGATGTCATGAACCGTCATGAATCAAGTTATCCAAAGGTTTTGTTGTGATTGTGAAACAAAGTATTTCAGGGACTGGCTGGCTAAATCCCTTATGGATCCTATTGATAAAGGAATCTGACCCTTTCGGTTCAGATGATAATATAGAATACCCATTTACCTTGTCTTATGTGAAATATTTAAGTAAACAAACAACAGGGCCGAGGTAGACTAACAAAAACTTCCTTGAGAATATCGGCTTCTAGTCATTTAATTTGCTTTATGTTTGATTGGTCCAAACAGCCAGGTGAGGTACGTGTATCTATGTAATTGTCTTTTTTTCCCCTTTAAATTGAATGATAGATTCATGTACCAATTATGTAATACATTTCATGTCTTCGGTTGTAAGACTCATCTGGCCATTTAAATAACGCAATCGACTGATATACGTATAACAGGCGACACGGAAGACGCTCTCCACTTGAATATTTGTAATCTATGTAAGAACTGCTCCGTACTTGCCAATATTCAGCATGGTCGACCGTGGATCAACCACCCTCTTTTTAGTTGGGATATTGGTGGTTCTCTTAACACCCAGTGTCCAAGCTTCCTCTAACAGTGATTTTTCTGCTAGTGACGAAGGTAAGTTTTAATCCAGGAAATCTATCATATGGCGGAATCGATTTTTTTCGTGTACGAAAATCGTATGAATGACAGTTTTGTATATGTATACATTTGCTCGTTTATAACACTATGAGTAGTCAAACTAGAATTTAGATAGATGATATTACACTTAGCTTTAATTACTGGATGAAAACATTAACATTATGATTTGATGAAGTAGTGTACAATAACCAGAGAGACACAGTCTGAAGAGAGAATCACCAATTGTACAATTGATCTCCGGTAATACTGAGTGGTAGAGAGACACAGTCAAGAGATAGACTCACTAATTGTACAATTGATCTCCGGTAATACTGGGTGGTAGAGAGACACAGTCTAGAGATAGAATCACCAGCTGTACAAGTGGGTGGTAGAGAGACAGTCTAGAGATAGGGTCACTAATTGTACAATTGATCTCCGGTATTACTGGGTGGTAGAGAGACACAGTCTAGAGATAGAATCACCAGCTGTACAATTGATCTCCGGTAATACTGAGTGGTAGAGAGACAGTCTAGAGATAGGGTCACCAATTGTACAATTGATCTCCGGTAATACTGAGTGGTAGAGAGACAGTCTAGAGATAGGGTCACCAATTGTACAATTGATCTCCGGTAATACTGAGTGGTAGAGAGACAGTCTAGAGATAGGGTCACCAATTGTACAATTGATCTCCGGTAATACTGAGTGGTAGAGAGACAGTTTAGAGATAGGGTCACTAATTGTACAATTTATCTCCGGTAACACTGGGTAGTAGAGAGACACAGTCTAGAGATGGAATCACCAATTGTACAATTGATCTCTGGTAAACTGGGTGGTAGAGAGACACAGTCTAGAGATAGAATCACCAGCTGTACAATTGATCTCCGGTAATACTGGGTGGTAGAGAGACACAGTCTAGAGATAGTATCACTAATTGTACAATTGATCTCCGGTAATACTGGGTAGTAGAGAGATACAGTCTAGTGTAAAGATGAGTGATCCTGTATTTACTAAACTAGAAAGGAATTAATAATTGAGATATGGTCTTTTGTTAAAATACGTTTTGAAAATTTATAAGTCATTTCAATCTATCTAAATATACAAATGTATTTGTGATTGTAATTTTTACATTTAATTGTTAGAAATATCGTTTATTACTTGGGTAAGCTCATTTTAATAATGATAGTATTAAAGTAAATTTGGTAGAAATCGTCCAAGACGCTGCTAATACTTCATGATCTTTTATCTTGTAATGCTGAGATTTCTAAATATAGATATCTGTCTCTGATGAAGGATATTCACAAGATTCCTTATCATTTTCCGATATCTAACTCTTAATACTCTTAACCCTCTGACGAACATTTTTTAAAAAATAAAAATTGACCTGTTCATTAATTACTATGTTGGCAGTTTACTGATTTTCAAATTTTAATGAAAAAAATGGAAGGTTTTTTACCATTTCCATAACATTTAATTCTCGATCTCACCCTTGCTGCTTCTGTCCGTGCTCTAATTCTACTTCATTTCTTAATTTCATCTTTTTATTTTGTCACAACATATTCACCTTCTATTCCATTGATAAGATTTTACTACAGTTAACAAAATCCTACATCATCTTTGTAATCTGCCAACATCATTGTTATCTGCTTTATCCATCAGTCTGATTTCCCCACACAATCCAAAACGAATGAAATGTATTTTCGAAATGATTTGATCAAACGATTTCTACAACTGTAAGATTTTAGTTAATTAACGCTATGCTTTATTCTACCCATTTAGAATTAATATGATTGTTTTAATGTGTTTTATTCTATCAACTCAGAATTAAAATGTTGCCTAATACCGTGCTTTTATTCTATGAAATTATAATTAGGGTACTGTCCTTGTAAACTTGTTATTGTTTATTTTCCGTATTCAGATGTCTTAGAGAAACTCATACAACTACTCAAATCAGTACACAAACAAGAGGACAATGGATATCTGCCTAGCAAGGGAAAACAGGTAGGTACACTGTTAACCAGATTGGAAACACAGGTAAACACACTGTTAACCAGCTAGGTAACACAGGTAAAATACACTGTTAACCAGCTAGGTAACACAGGTAAATACACTGTTAACCAGCTAGGTAACACAGGTAAATACACTGTTAACCAATTAGGTAACACAGGTAAATACACTGTTAACCAGCTAGGTTACACAGGTAAATACACTGTTAACCAGCTAGGTAACACAGGTAAATACACTGTTAACCAGCTAGGTAACATAGGTAAAATACACTGTTAACCAGCTAGGTAACATAGGTAAATACACTGTTAACCAATTAGGTAACACAGGTAAATACACTGTTAACCAGCTAGGTTACACAGGTAAAATACACTGGTAACCAGCTAGGTAACATAGGTAAATACACTGTTAACCAGACAGGTTACACAGGTAGGTACACTGTTAACCAATTAGGTAACACAGGTAAATACACTGATAACTAGCTAGGTAACACAGGTATATACACTGATAACTAGCTAGGTAACACAGGTAAAATACACTGTTAACCAGTCAGGTTACACAGGTAAATACACTGTTAACCAGTCATATTACACAGGTTAATACACTGCCACCAGCCAGTTTACACAGGTAAATACACTGTTAACCAGCTAGGTTACACGGTTAAATACATTGTTAACCAGGCAGGTTACACAGGTAAATACACTGTTAACCAGTCAGGTTACATAGGTTAATATACTGCCACCAGCCAGGTTACACGGGTTAATACACTGTTAACCAGCCAGGTTACACAGGTAAATACATTGTTAACCAGCCATGTTACACAGGTATATAAAACTATCTACCGGTCAGGTAACACAGGTACATAAACTATCTACCGGTTTGGTAACATAGGTACATGAACTATTTACCAGTCAGGTAACATAGGTACTTAAACTATTTACATATCAGGTAACATAGGTATATAAACTATCTACCGGTCAGGTAACATAGGTACATAAACTATTTACCAGTCAGGTAACATAGGTATATAAACTATCTACCGGTCAGGTAACACAGGTATATAAACTATTTACCGGTCAGGTAACATAGGTATATAAACTATCTACCGGTCAGGTAACATAGGTACATAAACTATTTACCGGTCAGGTAACATAGGTATATAAACTATCTACCGGTCAGGTAACATAGGTACATAAACTATCTACCGGTTTGGTAACACAGGTACATAAACTATCTACCGGTTTGGTAACATAGGTACATAAACTATTTACCGGTCAGGTAACATAGGTACTTAAACTATTTACATATCAGGTAACATAGGTACATAAACTATCTACCGGTCAGGTAACATAGGTACATAAACTATTTACATATCAGGTAACACAGGTACATTGGTATATACATTATGAACCGGCTGGTGTACATAGGTATCTACATTATGAACCGGCTGGTGTACATTGGTATATACATTATGACCCGACTGGTGTACATTGGTATATGCATTATGACCAGACTGGTGTACATTGGTATATACATTATGAACCGGCTGGTGTACATTAGTATATACATTATGAACCCTCTGGTGTACATTGGTATATGCATTATGACCCGACTGGTGTACATTGGTATATACATTATGAACCGGCTGGTGTACATAGATATCTACATTATGAACCGGCTGGTGTACATTGGTATATACATTATGAACCGGCTGGTGTACATAGATATCTACATTATGAACCGGCTGGTGTACATTGGTATATACATTATGAACCGGCTGGTGTACATAGGTATCTACATTATGAACCGGCTGGTGTACATTGGTCTATACATTATGAACCGGCTGGTGTACATTGGTATATACATTATGAACCGGCTGGTGTACATTGGTATCTACATTATGAACCGGCCGGTGTACATTGGTATCTACATTATGAACCGGCCGGTGTACATTGGTATCTACATTATGAACCGGCTGGTGTACATTGGTATCTACATTATGAACCGGCTGGTGTACATAGATATCTACATTATGAACCGGCTGGTGTACATTGGTATATACATTATGAACCGGCTGGTGTACATAGGTATCTACATTATGAACCGGCTGGTGTACATTGGTATATACATTATGAACCGGCTGGTGTACATTGGTATATACATTATGAACCGGCTGGTGTACATAGGTATCTACATTATGAACCGGCTGGTGTACATTGGTCTATACATTATGAACCGACTGGTGTACATTGGTATATACATTATGAACCGGCTGGTGTACATAGGTATCTACATTATGAACCGGATGGTGTACATTGGTATATACATTATGAACCGGCTGGTGTACATAGGTATCTACATTATGAACCGGCTGGTGTACATTGGTCTATACATTATAAACCGGCTGGTGTACATTGGTCTATACATTATGAACCGGCTGGTGTACATTGGTATATACATTATGAACCGGCTGGTGTACATAGGTATCTACATTATGAACCGGCTGGTGTACATTGGTATATACATTATGAACCGACTGGTGTACATTGGTATATACATTATGAACCGGCTGGTGTATATAGGTATCTACATTATGAACCGGCTGGTGTACATTGGTCTATACATTATGAACCGACTGGTGTACATTGGTATATACATTATGAACCGGCTGGTGTACATAGGTATCTACATTATGAACCGGCTGGTGTACATTGGTATATACATTATGAACCGACTGGTGTACATTGGTATATACATTATGAACCGGCTGGTGTACATAGGTATCTACATTATGAACCGGCTGGTGTACATTGGTATATACATTATGAACCGACTGGTGTACATTGGTATATACATTATGAACCGGCTGCTGTACATTGGTATATACATTATGAACCGGTTGGGCCGGTGTACATTGGTATATACATTATGAACCGGAACCGGCCGGTGTACATTGGTATATACATTATGAACCGGCTGGTGTACATTGGTATATACATTATGAACCGGCTGGTGTACATTGGTATCTACATTATGAACCGGCTGGTGTACATTGGTCTATACATTATGAACCGGCTGGTGTACATTGGTATATACATTATGAACCGGCTGGTGTACATTGGTATTACATTATGAACCGGCTGGTGTAAATTGGTATATACATAACACCCTTTACATTGGTATATATTTAACACAGGGAAATGAACATTGGTATCTACATTATGAACCGGCCGGTGTACATTGGTATCTACATTATGAACCGGCTGGTGTACATTGGTATCTACATTATGAACCGGCTGGTGTACATTGGTATCTACATTATGAAAATTGTTTTTGCCTATTCACTTAATTAACAGGTTGGCACACCTTAAAACAATTTGTTATATGGAAGTTATGTTTTTACAGGACCTACACCAAGTCATTATTGAAGGAAACGAAAAATATAAGGTAATTTTAATTACATCAAACTTACAAAATGATAAACATATTTTCTTTCTTTTTTGTTATCTGAGGAAAAATATTGTTTTTACTTTATATGATAAAGTATTTCATGTGCGAGCTTGTTACATCACTTGTCCGCCATTACGTACACACAATGTGTAAAAGCTGTAATTCCTAAAGAAAAAAAAATCGTCTTTTTGGCTCAAAACTGGAATGCATGTACATAATTTTAGTCATGTCATATTTTCGCCGTTGAATAGCTGTATCTAAAGCTACGGAATACGTAACTCTCACTTGTTATTCGCCATGTAACCTTATGGTGAAATTCATTGGAGAAAAACACTTATTATACATACTGTGAAATCATCAATGTTCGTGAGGGATTTATCTTCGTGGTATTGCTTGTCTACGAACTGTTTTGATAAGTATACAATATTTTAAAACCACGAAAATTAAATATCAAGAAAATATGTAATTTTACAATAATTCGTCTTTCTTAAGGAACATTGTAATCCTTTTTTACATAACAAGAAGAGTTTCGGGCTTAAAAATGATTGAAACATATCAAGGATTGCGATATTGATAATAGTATGGATTTTTGGAGATTGATTTAAGTTAAAGAATGGTTATAATAACTCTATGTATATCTTGGGATATGTAAAATGTAAACTGCAGAAAATTCGTCAACACAGTAAATAGTCTGTTGAAGATTTGGTGACTACAAATATGTATTTCACATTTAATCATGATTGGAAATGATTTCGGAAATATCCAGGTAGACTTTGAGAATCATTGTACGATATGTGATGAAGATGATGACCATGACAACTATCTCTGTCAAACTCATTTAACAAACTTCTAAATAAAAAACTGCTCATTTCTAGTTTTATTGAATATGAAGTCTTTTTACATTTCAGCCAAAAATCGATTATGACAGTCTACACCCGATAAAGGAAAGTGCTCCAGAACAGGCATCGGTAAATCCTGAAAAAGTGAAAATTTTAAATTCTAGAATGATATTAGATGAATTTAAAAATATTCGTTGTTTAAACAATAACAATTTTAAAGCTCTATTTTACACATATATCGTTGAAAAGTACGTACAGGTATACAAAGTATCGCATCACTATGATATGACAATGATAACAAATAAGTTTGATATGAACAGCCCCAAATTCATATTATGGTTTTAAGCTACGTGTACCATGTATATGATTATAGTCTATATGATAAACATATTTCCTTTTTTTTTTCCACATTTGATGTTATGTAGTTCATTACTTAGACAGCGAAATACAAATGTTTTTCAAACACATGACAATAACATAGTATAACACAAAGACAAATTATATACTTGTATATTTTGACGGATCGGCATATTAATGTTTTCCGTTGAAATGTTTGACTGTCCTTATATCTTGATATCACTCATTAGATGTTTCAAACCAAAGTTCACAGATTCCATAATACTAAATATATGTTTGTATGAATTAAGTGTTGTATGTCAATAAGAAATTATGCTTAATTAAATACCACAAGTAAATTATCTATTGGTTTTGTTTCAGGAAGAGAAAAAGAATTTCAAGGAATCCACAATTTTATGGGAGAAAGGACGAATTCCATATACCTTTCAATGCAACATCAGTGAGTAACCTAGACATAATAATAGATTGTTTTAACATACAGTAGGTATATATCCGATTTTCTGAATCACGTGGCCCTTCAGCACGTGCGCAATCCCTTTTACATGCTTACATGGAAGGGACAAAAAACAATATTAAAACGTAACCCACGATTTTATTTTTAAACTCATCTATTCATTATGTTACAATCCATAAAACATTTATATCTGCAGAAATTATGTTAGACACGGAAGAGGTAATTTTAATATTTTTCACCAGTTTGGTTTGAAACAATATCCCTCTGACAGGTGAGGGGAATCGGATAAAAGTCAGAACGATGATGGACAAGCTCGAAGAATATTCATGCATCAAGTGGGAATTTGTAAGTCCAGGTTCTACAGAATACCACGTGCTCATCGAAGACAAGAACGGGTAAGAATATTTGTATTTTCATACCACATCCATTCAGACCAGTACTGAATTATTTTTTTATCATTAGATATTGAAATATCATTAAAAGAAGAAAAAAATATTATAAAATAATAAAAAAAAACTTTCACTGTTTTAGAATATCGAATTGAAATTATTAATCATAGAACTATGTATTCAAAATGATAGCATTACAACATATAACCCTTTTTACTTTCGGTATCAAACTTTTAGTAGGATTGAATAGCAATACATTCTCCGGTGATATTGTATTAAGTCAGTGAAATCCTATAGACAATTCAATATTCCTCTACTGGAATTATAATCCTTGTCATCGTTAAGTTATGAATCAATTCGTGAAGATAAATCACCAACTATAATTAATGATTTTTCAGTAGGTTTTCATTTTACTATTGAAAAAGTACAGTTTTTATATTTGCAAGGCATAAATACGTTTATTTTGTCGATGTAAACAGAATGCATTTGTTTGTTTTAAATGTGTGTACAAAGGCAACGTTTCCACACAATAAACTGCATGTACTAATTTTCTTAAGCTTGTTGTGTTGAATGACGGAAAACAACATTTATTTGACGTTACAATGTATATTTTCTATGTAACTCAGGTGTCAGTCTCCGACTGGAAATATCAAGTCATCCGCTGGATTTCAGATACTCTCACTGGACCAATCCTTGTGTATGAATGTAAGACTCCAGTTTACAGTACTATATGAATGTGTTTCGTTGGATTTATTTAATTATAAAATATCAACAACTCACAAAAGTACACAAATACAAATGTCGATTCAGGTGAACAGGGAAGTTTGAAAACCGTACAACTAGCCTGTAATGAAAGGATGACAAATGTAGAATAGTTCGCAGTCAGTGTTCCTAAATATAGCTTACATTAAACAATCTAGTGTGTCACACATTGGTCGCCTTCAAAGGAATGTTTGCATTCTTTCTCGTCATAGCATTATAATTACGAACTAGAAATACCCCATCGGTTCCCGGAAACTATAGGCCTCTCAGCCTTTGTATATATGTTAAGCTTTATGAAATACGTTATTAAACAAACATATGATATATACCTTGTTTAATTCATATTGATAGTTTATATTCTCTTGTGTCAACAACCCTTTGAACGAATGCTCGGTACAAAAGCGAAACAGGAGAATAATTCCTTTAGATGCGAATTTAGTCACTCATAAAAATCGCCAAATACTGAAAATAACTTCCATTTACTGGGTTTGAATTCTGGAGCAGCGCACTTCTGCAGTTATATCTTATAACTTATTTCGGTCTACGAACGCTTTTCTTGGTCTCCCCCACGACTTCAGACCCCTAGCACTTCCGATTGGACGTGGCTAGACGGTTAGCAGCTTAATGATATACTGTTACAGTGTATTGTAATATATCAATTAAACTTATAACAACTTTTACGTTGGGTCGAAAAGTCGGAAATTCAAACAGGAAAATAAGGAAGATCAAAATCGATATTTGTGATTTGTGATGCTTTTCGAAGTTTAAATGCCTTTTTTCTTTTTCTTTTTCAAATTTGTCATTTTTTAAAGAACATCAAGCTTGAGCGTATATTTTAGTCAGTAGGGCAAATACTTCAGGTATTCTTGTATAATCTTGTGTAAAACACAGTTTGTATACAAAATGTATGGTTCACATTTATATAATTTATGTGACGTAAAAAAAACAATCAAATTTCGTACCATAAAATATTATAAAATCTATCACCAGAATGGTACCATACTACACGAATTGAGTCACACAATTGGTATGGAACATGAACTCAGCCGACCAGATCGTGACAATCAGATCATCCTCCTTTGGGATAACATCCCTGGCGGAATGTTCAACCCTAATATTAAGATGAAGGACGACTTGCGCATGTTTGCCACTCCCTTCGACATCACTTCCATCATGCAGTACACGGCTGTAGTAAGTCACAAAAGCTCTTCTTGTGTCTCCTCGATATGATAAAATATTTCACGCAAATGATATGTTCAAGAAAAATGGAAATAGAAGCAAAGTATGTTTGAATTGCTTTTAAGCGCAGTGTTCATGACCTATCTTGAAATTCTCTGTTGGTGTCCCATAAATACGTATGTTGGAGTTAGGGAATTGGTAAAAAGTCAAGGGTAATTAATTATAGGTTTTACGTTTAATGTTTGTGAACTTTGCTGTCTTATAAGGATATGCATTACCCTTAAAAAATGAAGACGAGAAACTAATTATCATTTTGTCTGTTTTTTCTTTTCTGGCTTGGAATATTATTTACAATTGTGCATCCAAATTACCGGAATCCATTTCAGTCCATTAAAAATATGTACTGTCTAGTTTAATGTCACTTGTAGAAGAAGCAATATATTCTTAAAATGATCCTTAGAATCCCGAATGTGTATCATTTTGATTCTTTTGTTAAGGCAATGACAACTAGGAAGGGCACTCTGAGTTATAAAACAAAGGATGCTAATCTTATTGGTTTAACATTGGAAGACCGCCATGATTTGTCCTTCTACGACAAACTCCTCATCAACAGAGCTTACGACTGTGCTGGTAGGTTTTTCATTAAAGTTCTCAATGGTTATTTCAAGAAACTTCATATCCAACAAATTGTGTCCTCTATTGTTACATTTAAAATGTAGTATTTTGTTTTTTGTTTTGTTTTGTTTTTTATTTTTGGAGGGGGGAGTGTGTCTTTTTTTGTCAAATTTCTTTCAAGAGCACATTGTTTCACTACGCAATTATTGCAAACACATGAATGCGTGGATTCTTTTTTTTCATAAAAAAGAATAAGATAAAAACATGAATATTTGCTAATAGCCACGTTCTTGCCCTATCTGTGCTATATTTTTTCATGTTATGACACATTATACATCTATAAATACCAAAATATGAATTTGTAGGCCGTTGTCATCCAAAGAGTTGCAAGAATGGAGAATTTCTGGACAAGAATTGTACATGTTTGTGTCCAGACGGTCTGACTGGAGAATCATGCGAATCTGTTATACAGGACGGTAAGTATTGTAAACATCACCAAAATCAGTTTGACCACAAGATAATATTCAAGAACTTCAAAACATGTTTTGTAAAATCATGAAATCTCGGAATGGTTTGGGAAAATCACAATGAACAAAAAATAATAATGATAAATAAATGATTGTGAAATGCACTAATTTCATCGTTTAATAAATTTCCAATAATTTTCAATATTCGCTGAATTGAAAGATTACGTATATACATGTATGCATATTTTGAAACCTGCAAATGAATAAAAACTGTTTTCTTTTTACAAAAGAAGCAAAACTGCCCACACTTCTTATTACAACAATCTCTGAAACATTTTTTTAAAATTCTGAACTGATTTTATTTTCTCACATTAATAATGTTTGTTTTGTTATATTTGTCACGCTTTCTGTCGTTAATACATATTTATTCGATTTTCTCTATATTTGGTTCATTAATTATTTCGTGATTTATGTGTTTGTTTCCAAGACAACTATGTCAATAATGGTTCAATTGTGATTGGATCTATCGGCGAGAAAATTACCGTGAATTCTTCCGGTTACCCTAACACGAATTACCCGACCGGAAGTATCTGCCGATGGCTTATAGAGGTTAGACTATACCAATTACTTATCTTTTTTGTTCTGTTGACTTTAGTTATTGGGATGAAAATGTACATTTTTCATTCAATGGTAACTTCAAGAAAATTAATGAATAAATTATAAAGATGTTGCGCGAGTTAACAGATGTTCGATGATTTTTTTTATAATTTATGTTATATATTTTTTCATAATTTGCTAAAATACCCATTTATTAACTAAAACTGAATTAAAACACTGAGTATTGTGTTTCATACGCCGTGGAAAATCATGGAGGTTGTGGGGGAAACTTTCATTTCTGTTGTTGTATTTTGTATAATGCTAATACAGAAGAATGCTTTATTCGTTTAAAATATGTAGGTGGTATACATTGTATACATAGTATGATTCTGTATCTAAGGGGCCAAAGGGAAGCAAGCTGCATGCCACCATCAGGGACATGGACATCGTATCCAGCAGAAGTTCTGACAACGTATACTGTATACACTGGCTGGAGATTCGTTACAACTTAATAGCACAGCCTGGACCAGAGTACGTTATTTCCCACCAAGAAATATTACTAAAGCAAGGTCCGAAATAAGTTATGTCCCCTTATGAAATATCATTACAGCCATAGACAAAAGAAATTATCTCAGATCAGGGATACTTACTACAGTCATGGACTAATAACTTATTTCAGATCGGGGATACTTACTACAGTCATGGACGGAGGAAATAAACTCATATCAAGGATACTTACTACAGTCATAGACTAATAAATTATCTCAGATCAGGGATACTTACTACACTCAGATAGGTGTATATTATCTCAGATCTGGGATACTTACTACACTCAGATAGGTGTATATTATCTCAGATCAGGGATACTTACTACACTCAGATGGGAGTAAATTATCTCAGATTGGGGATACTTACTACAGTCATAAACTAATAACTTATCTCAGATCAGGGAAACTTACTAATGTCAGAGACTTATAAATTATCTCAAATCAGGGATATTTACTACACTCAGATAGGTGTAAATTATCTCAGATCAGGGATACTTACTACACTCAGATAAGTGTAAATTATCTCAAATCAGGGATATTTACTACACTCAGATAGGTGTAAATTATGTCAGATCAGGGATACTTACTACACTCAGATAGGTGTAAATTATCTCGGATCAGGGATACTTACTACACCCAGATAGGTGTAAATTATGTCAGATCAGTAATACTTACTAACGTTAGAGCGGCAGATCAAGAATATATTTTAGATTCAGAGCCACAACAGATTATATCAGATCAAGGATACTTATCACAGGCAAACCAGTAAAAGATAGAGTAATAATTTGTTTACAGTAAATACCTTGTACTAATGGGTTTTTTTCTATTAGAAGAAGTTAAGTTTTGCATACATATATATTTGTACACTTTAAATATAATTCGTTGACGTTTGAAGATAATCACATGACACGATCTAAATTATCTTCACGAAGGACTCGACATTATTTCAGATTTTGTGGAGACAATGGAGGACAAGTGACGACAATAGAAACCGCTGACTACTCCGAGTCCAACAAGATTTTAATGAACTTTGATACGACGAACGAAGCGTCATCTGTCGGCCACCGAGGCTTCAGTCTCGAGTTCGTGGCTGTTGAAGGCAATAATGGTAAGTTTAAACTCAAATCTGTTAAATAACTATGTATACTTGCCTTGGTTCATTCTGATGAAATTTTTAACATCATTTCTAGCCACGAAACCTGTGGACTTCTGCAGGGATGTTAATTGTCAAAACGGTGGTACCTGTAATTCCAATGACAACAACTACTGGTGTAGCTGTGTGGCCGGATTCATGGGACGTAACTGTGAAAGAACGTCCAGCGTTCAAAATGACCAGAATGATATAAACACAGGTAGGTACATGTCTTTCTCATTACAACCTCCATTTCTGTATTTTCTTAATAGGCATGTAAAATATTTTTTAAAAAAAATTACATAACGAAGTCTCTATCTCAAGAAATATAATTAATGACACGCTGCGGACAGTTACGTCATTGGTGGGTTTAATAGGTTGCTCCAAACGCCGGATTACTCTGTCGATAATTAATATCTTCTCCACGTTTCGGTCAAATCAGCATCGGCATAAGACATCAGCTTGCTTATTAGATATAGATATTAGCATTGGACCGTCTTGCATTTATGTTCTATATGAATGACAGTTTTACAAACATGCCATAATGAGCTAGCGCGCAACGTGATGTTTACCTGCAAACGATCGTGATTATCACAACATGACAGCACAATTACCAGAGATCACAAAGAAGTAATCCACTTCAACTGCTGTTTTTGGAGAAAATGCATTAGGATTTATATTTCATGGCTCTAGAGTGTTAATATTTTTCGGGTTAATTATGTTATTTTATCTCTCGTATGACAAAAATGTTTCTTCTTTTCCCCCCTTTTTTATGGACTCTTGATACAATTGCACAAAAGTCACATAAGTGAATAGCGAGCACCTTTTAATACAAATTTCAATAAGACACAGTAGCGCCGTTCAATGAAGTTAACTGTATCATACAGCTGTTTCGTCCTTCTTAATGAATAGGCATATCCTAAACTCACTCGAAACCGATGTATCAAACTACGACATCACTTTCATTTATATTATAGGGTGCTTATTAGTGTATTTCATTTTTTTCGAACTGAAAGCATTTGCGTGAAATCACGACCAATCTACAGAACATCAAAATACCAATAGCAGGTGTTTGTTGAAGACAATTATGATCTGTAGGCAGAGTGTTTACTTACACACAATAGCTACTTTGATTCGAAACCAGCAATAAGCAGTATTGTGTATTTCAGTTTTTCATTGTGACAACACAGCCACGGATCAATGTGAACTGGTTGATTTGGGAACTGCATGGGAAATAGACGACAGTGGTCGTTTTGTAGTGAAACCACAACAACAGGTAGAGTTATATATTTCTTTTGATTTCAAAATATAATAAAATTTTCAAATGGCAAAATCATTTGGGATATCGGTTGAAACTCAATAACCCTACAAAAATAGCGCCCTTTGCATGTCGAGAAGGAATTTCTGTTAGGTTGTTCAAAAACATAACATCGTAAAATGATTAATGCATTTCATGCAAAACGACAATGAAAATTTATGAGAATTTTTCAAATGATTATTTCTAGGAGCCTAAAATGTTGAATTCAAGAAGGATTGAATGACTAATAAGCTGAAACCAATCTTTCCATATGGAATTCGGTGTAAGCTAAATGCGTCGTTCGAACCATTTCGTAAATATAGGATACTAGAGAATTCTAGAATAGCATACCATATATACATATTTAACCAAAGTAGGGATACAGATATTCCAGAGCACATGGTATCCCATAAAATTCATCAACATGTTCCTATATTTTCTTACTTATCTATTCCTTCCCATTATTACATACCACATCTACAATGTTCCTTGTAGTGATGTACAAAGATCAGCTGTTTCGGAAGTGTCAGCGCCTTCTGCTTCACCTATAACACCCGCGATATAAATCTTAAAATGCTCTTTTTCGTTCTAACATTGAACAGGCGTAACATTATTTATGAGTGATTGGTTGCAGCAAATTAGTAAATAGATGCTGAATTTCGAGTCATTTTCTATGATTACAGGCTCCCGTGCACCTTCCAATTCATTACAATGTCACTCAACCAGATCAGCAATATTGCTTCCACTTCAAAATCAGCCGACCTATCTCCCCTGAGGAGACGACATGTTCCGAACTTACTTTTATCGTCTCCAGGGAGGAAGAATATCCAGGTTTCACATTAGAGTTCGACGATTACCTACTGTTCGATGACGACTGCACAGAAAAGACTGACTTCAGTGAAATGATCAGTTTTACATCACATTCAAAGATCACTGGGGTAGGACAACGGTTCTAAATTCTGGATTATTGTATGAACTTTTTATTTATTTTTTTTTTCAAATCACATTTTATGGAACAACTCTTACTTGAAATTAATTAATTGAAAGGAATTCAAAAGTAGCAGGCAGAAACCAACAGAGAATCAGGATAAGCTATGATTTAGTTCCAATGAAAATAGAACTAACATCCAATTAAATGTCGACGTCATTAATTTAAAGAAGTTGGAGTCAAAATATAGATATTGGAAACACTGTCCTAGAAAAAATGTTTCTGAGAAGAAATCGCTGTTGTCTGTATACCGGAACTTTAAAATGCGCTTTTTTATCCAACATAAAGAAGATAATCACGAACTTCAAAAGACTCACTAGAATGAATAAATATGTTTAAAATCCTAAAGTTTAAGGCCCATATGTTAAAAAACAATGTATTGGTTTCTCTTGTACTTTCATAAATTTTCATCGTTTATTTATTTATTTATTTTCTTATAAAATTGATATATTTGTTTTTTTCGGGCAGTCATTTATTGGATGTTTTGCAATTTTCCTCCAGATTTAAACATGAGCTTTAATTTGATATTTTTCTGTATTCGTCAGATGGAATTCCTAGTGGATAATCTCCCAGACAGCGGAGCTGACATCGCCCTAAGTGATTTCGAGCTGCAGTCTACTCCCTGTTCTTAGTGGACACAATACTTTACAGTAGCCTGTGCCTTCAGAAACAGGAAAAATAAAGGAAGAATTTCTGCAAAATCGGGAAAGTATTCTTAGATTTTTCTTCAATTTGGGAAAATAAGACACATTTTGGCTAAGGAAAGCAGCTTTTTAAAGCTGTAAAACAGGGCAAAACAAAATCAGTTATATGACGTCAGCTATTTGAAACCAGAACACCAATATCATTTCATCAAAGAGAAAAAAAAGACCAAAAGAAATTAATCAGGTGTGAAATTATGTATGACAAATTGTTAATATCAGTATCTTAAGAAAATGTCACATTTTCAGCATTCGTGTCTAAAGCCTGTACTCGTTATCAGTCTTCATTCACGTTGTTTATTTTCAGTCTTTTACTGACTAGCCGGTCGGGGTGGTGGAGTTAAGCCAGGGTTTCGCTTATTCTATACTTATATCTTCCAGTTGTATAGGATTCATTGTATATCATTGATGTATAATAGTTACATTGCAGTCTGTGCACAAATACTCATTTAATACTTTAGCCCACGGGAGTATACAAAATAAATAAGTAAATATATATTTTTTTAAATCATAGCTGATGAGTTAAACAATATTTATGGTACATTTTTGGGTTGGAAAGAGGGTCATGTATTACGACCAAAAACTTAAAATAATTAATGTTGATTTATATATTGCACATGGTAAATATGATCCATGACGTCAATGTAAAATATATCTGTGTGGCGTGACATGGAAGAAAACAAAAATGATTTAAAGCTCAAAGTCATCGAAAAATTACGTTGTATACAGAAATGTATTTTGTATATATTTTGTTGATTAGCGAAAGTTAATAAAAAATAGTAAGTGGTTATCATTCATTAAGATTTAAGAATTGTATCAAAAAATAAACTCTCTATAATGTAGACACTGATATAAATATATATCGTATCGTTTAGATCGATTTGCAAGACGACAGCGGTATGCCCAATGTGTTTATTAACATGTTTATTTATAGTATATAGTGTTGTCCTTATGAACCATGCTGTAGTGGAAAGTATTAAGGGGACTTTAAAGACAAACAGCTGAATGAGTTGCGGTGGACTAGCTTTCAGAGGTTCATGGCTCGAATCCTCTTCTTGAGTACCCTTCATTTCTTTAAAAGCTACAGCTGATTTAAAACATTGTTGATCTTTCCTAATACTGATTTTCCGCATTGTTGATCGGTGTCGTGGTCAAATGTTGATCCTTTTGGAAAGTTTTTTTGTCTTCTAAAGATTCGTCTTGCAATAAAGGCCGTTGTCATTTGATATCGTCTAACGTTTTGAAATTATTGCTGCAAGGGCCATAAGTTTCATCTATCTACATTGAATATTGCAATTACTTTTTAATTATTTGTGCCAATAAAAAAATTCATTCATGCCAGATGATTGCACTACTAAACAAAATTAGCTCTATTCCTTCATATCTTTTAATGTCTGTAAGGATATACTACTTCTGTCATAATGTGTTTTGTAATATTTTTTCCAAGTCTCATGACATTATTAAATACTTTTTTTCAACTAAACATGTGTATCTTAAGCCTGTACAACTTTAAAATTTTAACAAGTAAATAACTATTTATCACTTGGTAGTTGTTTGTGTTGAAATAACGAAACATCATTTGTCATTGTCAGGGTAGAAAAATATCGCCCCTGTTATCACTATAGAAACACCTTCAATTTAAGCGCAAAACACGACACAAAATCTTTCCTTACCCGGTATGATTCCTCCACCTCGCAACTACGATATCTCTCACATTGGTCATTTCAGGCTTAGAATCACATCAACAACTGCAAAAAGTATTAGAAAACTGAAAATTTCTCACAGACTTTCGCTCATCATTTATGTAGTTAAATACAGATTAAGGCTTAGCCCTATAATTATTAAAAATAACACCAAAGTGAATAAGAAACTATATCATACTATTTTCGATCGAATGATTTTCATCCTTTCGATACAAATTTAACATTAGATACGCTAAACCAAAAGACTACAATCAATTGCATCGACAGAGTAAGCGTTTTTTTTCCAACAACACCTGCTGTGTGCAATGTAGTTAGTCTAAGAAATGTATTGTTTTCAAAATGAGAAGCGAATTAATGACATCGAAACAACCAGACATTTTAATAAGTCAATAACTTCATATAATTCAATAAAATATTTCCAATGAGATTGTATTGGTAACTAAAACATTTTCCAACAGTCCTCTTAATTCTGCATCTTTCGGAAACATAAGAGACGATTTCCCGTCAGTCACTTACATAGCTTTGGCTAAATTAGAATATTTCAGGCACCCAGAAACAAGAAAATCCCCACCTGTGAATACAACCATAAACCAAACTCAAATTCAATAAAACTAGGGCATGAAAGAGTACAAGGTGGATAAGACCATATGTTCCGGAACTGCAAGCGTCTTCATTTTCATCGACGGCATCTGCCATGTAAATCTAGATCAATCCAAGTAAGCAATGTATCATTCTGTAATGGAAAAAAGGTAAACAACAACGGAATCTACGGGTACACTGACGAGCATCAAACCTGACCAGCTTCATATTGCAAAAAGAAATTTCTCAATGAGATTACTATAACATTTGTACAGCTTTTCCCATAATTTTCATCAACTTGACTCTTCTGAAACTCCGTGTTGTGAATTTTTAAGTACACTGTAAGTTTACGATGTTGGGCATGAAAATCCTAATATTGGGAACAGGTCCTTGAATATCGAATTGACTTCGACATGTAAATACCACTGGTTGGGGATGCAGGGATGTTTCTGTCCATTAATTAAATCACATTAGGGAAACCGAAATCATCACAATTATCATACAGTTGTAGGAATATATAAAAATAAACGGCTGATGTAATACAAGACATCCAACAGAGGAGCACATTTAGTTCCCATAGATATGTCAATAGTCTGTTGTAAGAAATTACCACCAAACTAGACAAAGTTTTGTCTATGTTAACGAATCCACTGCGATATGTTAACAGTATGAATTTTGGAAAAAAAATGATACTATCTACAAAAGAAAAATTAAATGACAATAGTTGAATATAGAGTAGGATTATCACACTGTCTGGCGAAAAAATGCCCATATTCGACGCGTTGTAAGTAAATGAGGACGGAAAAGGATACAACAAAGAAGTCTGCCAGGTATTTTATTCAGAGAGAAACATTTTGTTGACATAGATTCCTAGTTAATTACAATGACGATATCGTCGATGGGTCTTAACGTAAAACTGAAGGACTCGGTGAGGTCTTTGTTTCTTGTTCAGATAAGTTATGATATTAAGAAAAAATATCTAAAATTGGAATTCCAACATATGTAACAAAGCTACCAGATCTTTGGTGTTTATTTTCACAAATAAGATTAGGTACAGTGAAAAGCGAGTCGTTTGGGCACTAACAGTTATCACAATACTTCTAGTGTAAGCGAGATTTTTGAACATCTTCAATGGTCGAGCTTATCTCACAGACGCATGGATGCCCGTCTAATCACAATGTGCAAAATATCTCGCAGTCTTGTTGCTAACAATAAAAATCTCTACTTAAAACCAGACAAAACCATACAAACATGTCAACCATAAATATGCGCCAAACTCAAATTAAGTAAAACTATGGCAAACTATGAACAAAAGAGAGATTTACACGAATGCCCATAAAAAAGGACATGGAGAACATGACCAAGTGTTCCGAAAGAGTAAGTGTCTTCAACATCATTGACGAAATCCGACATATTAATATCGGTCAATCCTAGTAAGTAGTGTCACATTCTCATATGAGAACAAGGTACATAACAACGGAATCTACAGGAAACTAACGAGCATCAAACCTGTCCAGCTTCATATTACACAAACAAATATAACATTTCTCAATGTGATCTCTGCGACGACCGTAAAATTTCCTTCTAAATTTCATTAACCTGCATCTTTTGAAACCTCGTGTTACGAATTTGTCTGCCACTTGACTTCTTGTTCTGCAATCATGTTAATAGGAACAGGCCACTGAACATCAATTGAAATGCGACATATAAACACCATACGTTAGGGATGCAGGGAGGTTGTTATCCAAAAATGGAAAATTCACAATAGGCAAATTGAAATTATTACGCTTATCATACAGCTTGGTGGAGAGCTGCATATGATGGTTTCGCTGCAGGTAAAGATAGAGGTGAGAGGCTAGTGAAGAACAGTCTGTTGTGTTCTTGTTGCCTATTTCTGGTGGGTATAAACAACTCTTCCAAATTGGGAAAAATTTCAACCGTTCTAGCGTTATATAATTATACTGACATACATTTGAATGCATTTATTTGATATAGACAAAGGCTTTCAGCTTACGTCCATACTTTTGCTATTAAATATCTAAAAACAATTTAGTGTATGACACCATATTAGTATAGACCCTCCTTTGCTTACGCCTGTCCTGCCTTTTTTATAACTAGTTTTGTCTCGTCTCCCTTGATTCATTAGAGTCTTCACAAGCTCGACGGTTCATTGTATTTTTTCTCTGGTAGCAATTCCTCCACATTGTTTATAAAAAACAGATAACAATAGCTCAGTAACATGAGAAGTAATGTAAAAAAACGCCTTGTAACTTCTGAAAATATGAAAATAAATTAAAAAGATAAAATAAACTTTTATCTTTTTCACAAAAATTACGAAACTATTTTGCCAAGTGACAGTGATCATTGTTGTTGGCTCGAGTGGAAGGATGCAAGGGGTCTTAATGTGGGACCCACCGGATTGGACAGGTGACCCCATACTTTTCCATGTCCGCTCTGGGAATCGAACCTCGGACGTCTAGGTGAAAGGCGAGTGCGTTACTACTGCGCCATCCGACCATCAATAATGATCGGAATACTAAGAATGATCCTGATAATTCATGACATTAAAAAAATTATCTGTATGGATTTTATTGTCTTACTCAGCTCTTAATTTCTTACTAGCTCTTCGTGTAGGAGGGATTATGTAAATATCACAAAAGTTCTTTACATAAACAGTAATTGACACCATGTCATGAGATTTTATATATAACTTATCATTTACATTATGATGAGATATCCCACTGTGAAGTTACCCTGTCAACAGACAGTCTGTGGCCAGGGGCCCAGAGTCCTGTACCCTGTATATGTATCCTTCTAAATAAATTTACTAAAAATTGATCATTTATTTTTTACTACTTTAAAAACAAGAGAAATGAAACATATGAATAGATCAATTTTTCTTTTATACTTCAAAGCATAAAACCCAACACCAAGACTTCATCAATTAGCACATGTTTATTAGAATTTGTTGATACAGTAAAATATCTGGACGGAACATTGTACCACTGAGTCATTTTTATACAGTATACATTCTTAATTATTTGACATCAATGAAGCACAGGACTGGCAGCAAACTGCTCCTATAACATAGGAGGCCACTTGTCTGATATATATTCAGATGATATTATTGTGCCATTAGTGTCTCGTTGTTAAGTAATCCTTTAACATTGTTGGGGACAAAACAGCATATGCTACAGAATATTATGGCTTTGATCAATGTAGCTATATTTTGTTTGTTTTTTTGTGTGTGTGTTTCTGAATTAAAATACTTTTTAACAATTCAATGTATCAAAAGATGTTATTATACATGCTATGTAGCTTTCCTGTAATTCTTTATAGATCAATACAGTAACTGTTGGTACTCCAAGCAATATATATGTATAAAAATAAACATATTTGGCATCTTGAGAAGTAAAACAACAGGTCCATATGGTGCATGCATTGTTCACCTATAGATATGTAAACAATCAAGACAAAAACATGTGATTCTCATATATAACATTAATAGATTCCTGAAATTGATGAAAACAGCTATCTGCATTCATATCATTAAATTCTTTTTTTCAAATTTGGTAAAAATTGAAGTCTGGCCTAAAAAGCATGATGACACTAAAGCATTAATAAGCTCCTATCTCCTGTAAACCAGGTCAAATATTTTACAATACTAAAGACATCAACAATAACATATGAATTGTATAACTAAATCCATAGACAACACCTTGAATGCAACAAGGTGAAAAAAAGAGATGGAAAAAAAAAAAAAAAAAAAAAAATCAAGGGCCATTGGACATGCTCCCCAAATGAGACAATAATTCTTGAATAATGCAAAGAGAGTTATGGTCTTTTTACATTGCACTTCTCCTTATCAAGATTTACCTATCTAGAAATTTTCTTGTTGATGCCTCTAATAATTTTAGTGTGATGGTGCGGAAAAAATTTTGTATCAAAAGTAACAAAGGGCAACAACTCCTAAATCAAGCATCAAGATCCATCTACCTATGAAGTTTCATGTTAATACCTCTCATAGTTTTTGTGTTATGTTCCAGAGAATGATGGACAGACAAATGGATGGATGGACAGACGGACAAAACGGCAACCATATGCTCTCCTGTCAGGGAGCATAGTAAAAAACATTCATCAAATTCTAGCAGTGATGTATAAATATCTGCATTGGTCACTACAGACCAAACTAAGGACATTTCCTGCTTTGTTTTCCCCATGAATACCTTACAAGGATATGTTTCGAAAGAGGATTATTACATCAGAATATATTTCAATAGAATGAGTGAAAAATATCGATATTTTCTGTGAAATCTGTATTAATAACAATTTTTTTTGGAAAAATTGCAAACACAAAACAATTTGTATGACAGAAATTATTCTAAAGTCCCGTAAACACTGCATACATTATGTTTATTCTCTGATGTCACGTAGTTACAATGTTAATCTTGATTTAAAGACAGCACCATTTTGAATTGACCACTATACATAATATTCCAACAATGTATGCTGATCTCTGCTTACCATAACTTAGAAAACAGTTACCATAAACATGGGACTGCAATGTACACAGAAGTAAACGAGAGATCTGGAAAGCGTCTTGGCACTCACAATTGTTTAGTCTTTATTTGTTCTTTAAGTTTTAGATCATTTCCTCTGTTCTTGGTTTCCATCATATGAAATCTGAAAATTCCTAGTAATTTTTAATTGTCAAATCCAAGATGGCAGCTTGTCAGATCAGTCCCAAAATTTAAAATGTACAAAGTGGGGAACTGCTATATGAGACTTAAGATCCATCCAGATTGTTTATGACTGGATGCTTGACAGACCAAGGATGTCAGCGATTTGAAAAGCCCACCATATGCTGACTGTGGGCTAAAAACTGTTATTCATGTCTTCAAACTTTGCTTCATTTGCTGCCAAACAGGGAAATTTCAATGCAATGAATACAAAGTCGTAGTTGACATTCAGTATGTAAAATATAGCTGTTGTAGTATATTGAAAATAACAGATTAATAGATATGCATTTAACTTAAATAAATATAATTCCAGCTATCTTAAAATATAATGGCTATATCTCACATAAAGAATGTCCGATGTTTCACATTGAATATTTAATCCTGTGGTATACTTCACATACTGACACACTTTAGTGTCAATCAGTCGGCAAAATCAAAGAAAACTTAACCTAAATAACCACATAGGGTGCTTATTTGGTCAATCTCTTTTGCTGAAATTTTCAAGGTTTTCTATTTTCATCCTGGGCGACTTTCTGGTAGATCCTGGTACAAGCTTAATTATAATAACATGCAAAAATACAAATGCACATGTACTACAAAAACTACTAGCTTAACTATAATAATATGCAATATACAAATGTACACATACATAATATATAAGTGTGTTCTAAAAATTTCAACTCTTGATATAAAAAAAACAACATAAACTAATGTCTGAAAAAAATAGTCTTTAGTGTAAAAACAAGACTAAAAAGTTTCCAAAACATTGCTACAGAGATGAATCCATACAAATGAGTAAGATATACCCTGAGATTAAACTTAATTGTTAAAGAAGAAATTGTTTAAATGTCTATAGCATTACTGAAATAAATATATATATATATTGTGAAAGGAACAAACTTTATCTGTCATTATAACTTATCTACCAAATGCTGCTTCATATTGTTTTACAGTGAATATTCAAGTAATACATCCGACCAATTCAGAGTTTCGGGTTTTGTTTTACAGTGAAATCACACACATTGAATTTGATTCACAATCTACAAACTGTATAAATTTATACCAGGATGCATTACCTTTTCAAAATAAATCTAACTGGGGAACCCTTGGATATGTTGGATGTTTTACTGGTGAAGCTTCAATATGAGAATTTTTTCCTGAAATCTTTCGAAGTTTCAAAATCATAAGTTATACTTAAACTGTACATATATCTGTAGTTACGTTATTTGTAGCAACCTATTAAATGATAACGAAAAACATAAACACAAACAGAACTATGCATGGACATCAATGAAATCTTAATATAACTACCAAAGGCTAGGACTTCTAATCAAAATATTCAATATTCAAAACACAGGATCACAGCTTGGAAAATATCACAGACATGTTTGTCACCATCATGTTTTTAACCAAAGAAAGTTAATAATACTGATTGTGACGTTTTGAAATATAATTATTATGTAATTATTATATACACTGGAAACCACTTGTTCCACAGAAATCATGTAAATAAATATGACTAAATCCTCATTTTTTCTTCAAAAAAAGAAAAAAAAATCTAGAAGAAACTATGAGTAGACTGTCAATGTTTGACATTGTAGCTTGCAAACAGTATGTCTCAGACAGGTTATTTCTGACGACTCTGCGCAGTATTGAGTTTAAAGTAGAGTCCTTGCTTGGACATAAGATCACCATGACGACCCTCTTCTGCCACCTGACCATGCTTGATGACGCAGATTTTGTCAGCATTGCGGATGGTAGACAGACGATGGGCGATAACAATACAAGTCCGTCCCTCTCTGGCCTTGTCTAGGGCTTCCTGTACAATCTAGTGCAATAAAAAATTTATGTTCTGTTAATGTTTGTACGTATTTAAAAGCTGATAACATCTACCTATACATTTATCAATTTATGTAATCTCAATCAATAATGCATATATTTCCACTCCTTTCTCCCAAAAAACAAAACAGTATAAATGAGAAAAAAAGGAATTTAAAGAAGCAATTCTGAGCACTTACAAATATGACAAATATGTGTAATGAGACATTTGCATCACATGGAAAAATCATAAATTTGACATTTTCTGGACACAGAAATTCCTTTACAACTGGTTGGGATATTGTCTGTTTTTGGTCCCGAGATTTTCATCAATAGTTTTCTTTTATTTAATTCAGCATACTGAACTGACTTTCATTTTGAATTATTTTGACCTTGGGCTTATCAATAATCTCTCACCTTCTCACTCTCTGTGTCAAGGGCTGATGTTGCTTCATCTAACAATAGGATCTTAGGATTTCTCACCAGGGCCCGAGCAATGGCTACACGCTGTTTCTGGCCACCACTGAGTTGTGTCCCTTTGCTTCCAACATTCGTTTCATATCCCTAAGATAGATGAGTTGTAAAAAAATGTATATTCATATTCTTTAAAACTTGTCTATCGCAGAGTTTCACCAAGATTTCCTATTTAGCATTATGTTAGGAAATGAATATCTTTACTTAAAAAAAAATGAAATTCAAATTGAAAGTCAACTAAACTGACCATAATTTGCGGACTGAAGGTGTTTGATGAAAATTAATAGTTAAATATCTTTAATATTTGATTGATGGAAGATTGTGTTACAGCATACTGTCTACATATGACAATTTCTTTCACAATGATTGATCACTACATGTAATAAAGGATAATTACGTTGGGTAAGGATTCTATAAACTGATGAATGTTGGCACTTCTGGCTGCAGAAATGATTTCATCCATACCAACCACCCGGGAGTTGTCACCATAAGCTATATTTTCTGCAATACTGCTGTCAAATAGTATTGGTTCCTGTGATACGATGCCAACTTGTGATCGTAGCCACTGTACATTGAGATCCTTCAAATCGTAGGAGTCTAATTTCTGCATCAACAAACCAACAAAAAGTAACATTCACATGTATTCCTTATTTTTGTTGTTATACCATGTAAGTAACATGTTAATATCCTAGAAATTTAAATATTTTTTTCAAATCCATAAAAACCAAATCTTGAAAACCAGATTATATCAGTTATGATTATATTCTTTGTACCCTGAGAATATGTCATGAGAAATAAAGGCTTTAATTAAACAAGTTGACATGGGGCTGAAAACTAACAATATCATGCATACCTGTGATCTCTTTGATACAAATAAAAAGGAAGAAATTTACCGTAGTATTAAGTAAGAGTTTGTTCGGTCTTGGTTTCATTATTTCAGAACAATATATCTCACTTCGGGGTATAATATTACATATTGCATATTTTTGTGATATTTGACATACTCTATATCTCAATTTCATCTCATCCACTGCCAACCCTTCATTCCCCAGTAAAAATCTCTAAACTTACCACCAATCCATCATCAGGATCATAAAACCTCTCTATAAGTTGTACTGTGGTGCTCTTGCCACATCCACTGGACCCTACTAATGCCAGGGTTTCACCAGAGGACACTTCTAAGGTTAGTCCTTGTAAAACTTGCACATTTGGTCGAGAAGGATAACAAAACTTTGTATTTTCGAAGGATATTTTACTAGTGAAATTGGCCTGAAAGAGAAAAAGTCAGATTTATTGGAATCAAGTTTCCGGACCTTGGCTAAACTTCAGTTTTCGAAAAAAATAATGAAGGGTTATGAATATTCAAGGAGTCACAGCCGTGATGTCAGTTTCAAACACTAAAATTGTTCCAAAAAGGGCATTTAATATTTATTATTACTGACCATTTATAAGGTCAAAGTTTGACCTCAACAGTTTCTTGTATTTGATGTTAATATAAAAATGAATTTTCAAATCATCCTTTTCCCCATACATCAATCCAGTGAAATATCTGGATACAGAGTTTTATTCAGGTGTTATATACAAAAATTATAATACTGCGGATACCCTTTAGTGTTTCATCATAGTTTTGTCTTAATGGTTGCAATATATTGATATCTTAACTCAAACAACATTTCAAAATTTGATTGTCACTTAAGATTGATCTGAAACTTTACAGTCATTTCTATAAAAAATACTTTAATTATCATTATATATCACTGAATTGATCTGAAAATTTTCAATCATTATACATGTACTTTCGTTATCAATATTTATCACCAAAGTCTGAGGCATACATACTGGTTTGCTACCAGCTTCGGACTCTGTGTCAATTTTCGGCACACGATCCAACAAGGCAAAGATATGAGATGCAGCAACCTTAGCTTTAGAGGCATCGGGAGCAAAAGAACTTGCCTGTCCTAGGGCCATACCACCGAATACAACTGCAGAAAAAACTCTGAAACAAAAAAAAAAGGAAAATATAGGGCATCAGACTTAGGAATTTCCTTTATATATTTACTGTAAATTACATATACATCAAATAATGTATATATTACCCAATCATAACTTGTAAATATTTGCATAATTATTTACTTAATAATATCATCAAATTTCTGTATAATGTGCAACCCTTGTAAATGTTATCCAAATATACTGCTCAGATAGTGATAATTTCTCTTAAACACGATCAGTTGAGCATCAGAATAGTAAGTTTAAGGTCTTGGATTCAAGTCCTAGCGGAGGTATTAAAACAAATTGGTACCAATGTTGTAACTTGGGAATAATACTTTTCCATGCCCCGTGAACATCACTGTAATCCCTGGAAACTTAAGTACAAGTTCTGTCCTGGAGGGAGAGCATGTAACCATGGTTAAAGCTAGATGCAACATTCGGCTGGAGAGAGAATGTCACTTTATCTGGATACGTTGAGTGTCAGACTCGTAAGCCATAGGTCTCCAGTTTGTATCTTAGCACAGGCATGGATTTAAATCATAAATGACCCCTGTTACACATGTTTACCTCGTCATCAACAAGCTTCTCTGTGTATCTGAAACTTTTCTTGTATTCTGCCCAGGGGACCTGAACTCCGTTAATTAAAATAGGTAGATGGATAGATATAACACAAATGTAGGTGGGCTTAGTACCAGAAATGGGTTAAATGTTCAGTTAAATTAGTTTTATATTACCTAAATACATCTCCAAACTCCATTTCATTTTCGCTGATCAAATAAGCACCAAAGTAAAATGCAGCTGCGTATGCATAGTAAAGCATAGCCTGTGATATAGAGAAAGCCAATCCCGTCAAGTGACATTTCCTGATGGCCTCTCTGTACGGTTGCTCCAAATTCTTAAGGTAAAGAACATACACTTTGTCTTCCATAGAAAGTCCAGCCACTGTTCTCATGTTTTCTATAGCCTCAGTAGCAACTTTACCAGCTTCTTCTAGCGCTAATTTATTCTTTCCTGCAACACCAGTTAAAATCCTCATCCGTAACCCTGCAGACACAGCCATCAGTGGAATAAAAGCCAGGATGACCAGGGTCAGTTTCCACCCATAAATGAAGGCTATGATAATTGCTGTTCCAATATTTGCCAAAGCCTCTATAGCTTTCCCTATGGTAATGCCAGCAGCCTGAAGGAGATTCAAGCATATTTAGGAGGTTGCTTATGAATTTAGTAATTAAATTAGTTGGTAATGTCTGTTAAAGTGATATGTCATTAGGGACTGGCTGGAATCAAGAAACTTTCTCTCATCAGCTTACATGGTTCAATCCTTATAAAAGTAATAATGTGCGACTTTCATTCACAGCTAAAACATTTTGGTTGCAAAATTGATACAAAACTTATTACATAAAAAATAAACATTAAAGTTTGCCAGCATGGATTTTCCCACATGTACGATGTACATTAAATAACATAGCAACTGAAAAAAAAAATTGGACCCCAACAATTAGCTAAATTGACAATCTGATATCTAATTCATAGGAGAATTATTGTACCTGTGAGCACCTTTCTGAATTCTGTACAATTTGACCGACATCTTTTTACCTGAGGACTTTAAATTCATGCTGACTTCATGTTTAAATGTTAAAAAAATACACTTGATGTCAGTGATGAAAAATATTCCTTGACCTATGTGTGTTTTTATTCTTTTTCATGATGTCAGTCTTTTTAAATTAATGCAACAAATTGTGTATCATAACACATATGTCGTAGACAAAGCATGAGATTTACAATAATTTTACTTTTGTTTTTATATAGAATGCAAAAAATACATCTTAGCTGTTCAGTATCATACAGACCCCATGAACCTCTGATGCCTCAGTTGCCAAACGAGTTGTCAAAGCTCCTGTGCTGTTCTTTTGATCATCAAAATAGGACATATCCTAAACATAGATAGCATATTCTATATTAATACAGTGTTGTCTGATGGAAGAGACACAATACAGTAACAATGTAGTATAGTTCAGACCAGCTCAAAAATTATAATCAGTAACAACCAAAAAATGTGGTCGTTCCATTTCTGGTGGCTTTTTTTCAAACATTTGATAAAATTTCATCTTTGGGCTGGGTGCCAACATCAATGTTAGGAAGTGGATATGGTGTAACCATACACAGATATCCATTTGCCCAGTATCCTGACAACTATCAATGAAAGATAGATATAATTCCCATCTGAGAGTTTCTCTTGAGATCAACTAGCCAACTATGAAAAACTTAAAAGGCAATGTTTGGTAAAAAACATTTCATTGATTTCATTCTTTGGGAAGGACTGTCTAGCTGTTTTACTGTTTTGCTACCATACACAGGAACATGCATTTAAACTTGCAGCTACTTACCTGTCGCATCATAGCATCAAACGCCATTTTCCTTAGCCTCATTGTCAGAATTTCACCTGATTTCCCAAACATGTAGCTCTGTAATGATTTGAAAAAAAAAAATGAGTATAAATGATACGCAACTCATAAAGTACCATATCGTCATTTAACAAATAAAACAAGAGTATCAGTGAAATTGATGAAGTTTTACAATGGGCAATAACTCTGTAATAAAGGGGTTGCAGGCCCTGAATATGGTACACCACATATCTTCGTATGATCAATGTAAACACCAAGCTTCGTTATCCTGAATTTGAACAAAGGCAGTAACGCTGTAATTGAGAGGTTGACAGCTCTGAATTTGGTACAATGCACATCCCCTTAATATATCTAATGTATATTGCACCAAGTTTCATGATCCTTGCTCAAGTGTAGGATCCAGACACGAAAGGACGGATGGAGGCAAAAAAAATAATTGAAGAATTTAAAGTGAAATTCTATGCTATGCTCATATCATCTTTTGGTTGTCAATATTTAACCTCTTGTAAATCTGTTGTAAGATGATTTCAAATAATATGAAGATGTCCTCTAAATAAGAAGAGCCTGTACCTGTAGAGACAAGGCGATAAGAGCACCTACTCCAATGGCGATCAGGATGAGGACATATTTTCTTATCTCTGTCTCCTGGTAGCTGTAGTCTGTGTTACCAAACACCTGTACAGAAATGATACAAAATACCACTGATTTGAAATCAAGCACAACCTCCAAATCATCCTTATGAATTGTTGGACAATATTTAAAAATTTCAAATAAACGATACTATAAATTGTCAGATCACTGAAAAGCAATTTAAAAGAGAAATGACACAATAGCCAAAATCCTGACCTGGCATTCTTGATATTTAATACATATATATAATTATATATCATAATCACTTGTATAAACAATAACCTATCTAGTTTGAAATCGAGGTCTTGTAATCATTTTCTTTTTATTTCATCTTATTTCAGTATCTTCATGAAACAAGTTTTATACATTTGTATGAGTACTTTGTAAAGTTTTGTTGAATTCAGGGGAAACTTTTTGCTTCACCACTGGTAACCCCTGAATAATGATACCAAAATATATCAATCATTGCTTAATTCTGCTCAACTCACCAAGCTTAAAAAAAATGTAACTTTATCTTGCATCAATGTTCATTTTCATTTCATACTGATTTTTTCCAATGTTCAAAATGTAAAAGAAATGCTATGGTGTAAAGGCATTAAATTTCATCTTGACCTATTATCTGGTGTATAATATAGTCATTTATCACAGGAAAACATAATAACAAAACACGGCTGATTTCCTCCAAACGGATTACTTGTTACTCATTTTGTTTAAAAAAAAAATTCAAATTCACTATTTCATCCATGTAGAAGCTGCACTGGCACTTAAGCTGCACCCTTTCTTATGATATGATGACCATTATATTATCTGATTAGTTTTTATATATTTATCTGAATGTATTAGCATGTTATCAATTTTCTGTCAGAATATTATACATTCTTATCCGTGATCACGCTTACACTCCTTTTGTTTAATACTATCGCCACAGTGAGGGGAAGTCACGTAATGTTTTGGTTTATGTGATCACGTGACTGGTGAAAAAATTTTGTGCACAGAAAAATTTTGGTTGACCAGGTATTTTTGACCCACCTCCTCCCCTATCTTATTGATTCCTCCATTGATGTACATTGTATGTTTATGTTAAGTTCATATTGGCATTTTGGTAAAATTTTGTGTAACAATTCCCATCTTTTTTGCTTGATGTATTCATTATTATTGACGTTTGATATAACAGATAACGGGAGGTAGTTTATCAAAAGCGTCGATGTTCAATTTTAAAAAGTTTACTGATGAATTTTGCACAAATATCTTTTATTTTATGGCTGTATTTTTAAACATTACTGGTTATTTAAAATACATAAAACATTTAACTTGTTTGGGGCCTTCAACGATTGCCAATGCACTGGTAGGGCCCGACTTATGTACAGCACTACAAGCTCTCCACCGGTGTCTGTACTGTTGAATATCAACGATGGCTATTGCATGTTGATAAAATTCCTATAATCTCGTAATTCATTTTTGTTAGCTGCATCAAAGCCACAAACATCGCAAACAAACATAGCGGTCGTTCTTAAATTTGACCTCTTCACCCCACGGCGCAAAGCAGTGTGTTATCATGGTAGGGCTCACAGAGAGTTTTTCCATTAATTTTCATTACTCAGTAAATATTAACGTAAATATGTACATCTTCAAAACAAAATTGAGGATGTATTTTCTGGGCAATTCACAGCATCCTAAAGATTCTTGAAAAATACCCTTTCAATGGTTTTAGTAATAGTATACACAAATATAAGATTTATTTTTGTTGCCGTCAGAGGCCTCAAACTATCAATCCCAGGGTGCAATAGGCTACTGGAAACATCCTCTACCCATTCTTGCATGTACTGTTGCGAAGAAACCATGTAAGTCAAGAATGTATTACTGTTTCATATGTATGATTAATTAAATCCACAGGAATGTTACTTGATTGCAATCTTTAAATTATTTAGTATACATTTGCAATTGGTTCGAAGCAATTTGTTTCGCTCACAAACACGTGGTACTTGTTGAAACCAGTTTGTGACATATTGTACTGGTACTATAGTTTTTTCCCCATGATGCTGATTTTTCTGGTTTTATCTACGTATAAGCTGCACTGACATATAAGATGCATGCCTGACTCACGTGGAAAAAAAGTCGCGACTTATAGGCTGGAAAATACGGCACTATACTCACAGTGATGATACTGGAAAATATAATAGCAAAACATGGCTGAACTCCTCCAAACAATAAACTGGCAAAACAACCAACAACAATGAGATACCACTCTGTAGCACAGAGTCGCATTATTCTCTTGAAGGAGGGTTCTGGCAAATCTTCATCTTTCTGAAAAGATAAGAAATACATTAGACAAATGTGATACTGACTACCTATATGTACCTAAAATGTCTACTTGAATATATTTTTGACTGTGTGATTCAGATTTATCAAAGATAATTTCCCTTCAGCTGAATAAAATTTTATAGTTTTCATTTCAAGATTTATACCTTTTATTAAAGAAAATGTGCATAAAACTTACACTATATAACATCCATTTTGTTGGAAACAACCTGAGCTGGATGCAATTAAATTAAAATGCATGAAATGGGGATACACTTATGTACAAACAAATGCAGACCTGAACTGCAGATTTGTGCAACAAAAAAATATGCTAATCATCATGTTCACAAGGTCCAATGGTAAAAAAAAACTGCAAAGGGCCATAACTCTACAAATTACCATTGAATTGGTCCCATTGTCAAACTCATCTGAAACCTTATTGATATAAGGCTGCATAGCAAGTTTCATTATAATTTGTATATATTAATCTAAGTTATAGTGTTTTTAAAAGAAATATATCTACCTTTTCTTTGTCTGCATCACTGTTTACATTCAAAGCTTCCAATGTCTTGGCATCCACAACAGACTTCTGGGTCTTCAGCACTTTAGATGATTTTTTTTCTGGTGTTGTGTACTCCTCAATCAATTCATCCTCTGTGAAAATGAATTGCATTATACAATTATCATTACCTTTCTGTTTTGTTACTTTCATATTTTAAAAAAAGTACTCTATAATAAACTCTTGCAATGTAACATTCTATAGAACAATATTTATTTCAGTAAAAATCCACAGCAATATAAGATTTCTGATATATATATATTGAGTATATCGCCAATCTTGTGTATCTGAAGGGCCACAGGCTGCTGATTTTTTTAACCAAAATTTCATGGCATTAGTGAGAGGGGATACATTTTATCCTATTTCACAGTAAAAAATTGGTTTCCCCTTGCTGAAAAGTGGGCTCCTTTCATAACAATCAAGAATATCTTTCTTATTTCATTAAGAAATGATTACAGTGTATTTTCTAAATTAAAAATAATTAACTCATCAAGATTAAAAAGTAATTCTTTGCGGAGAACTGTAAGATAACTCTCCTACTACCACATATTTTGAACCTATATGGATATATTTAATCACAAGAAAATTATTGAAATGAAACCTAACTATCATAAACGCATACTGATCACATTAAGGTCATTAGTATATTTTAGCATTTTTAGTCATTTTGCTTTTACATGTATCTGCATGTCAACAAATCATTTCAAAGACAATTAAATTATCTTCCTAAGCCTTGATATCTTTTGATATTTTACTCTCTACTTTCCATCTAAATCATGTAAAGATGTATTACTGTTTTATTCCAAAAAAGTTTGTGAAATAATGAGTACTGGTAACCTACCTCCAGCATCATGTTTTTTGGTCTGAAAATAAAATCCATAAACATATTTCCATTATCATTGCACAATTAATACTACTCTTCCACATCCTTGTATTTTTAAGTTTGGCTTAACATAAAACTCTTTCAGCAATGTGAAAATATTAATTAGTTAATTTGATTCACATGTGTTTCCATCTTTAATACTCAAATATGAAGAAAATATTTCAATCTGAATGATGATTACAGCATTACCAACAATCCTCATGATTAGCACCATTCAAGGTTAAATCACCCACATATTGTACTTCAGAATATTGAATTGGAATCATGTGCTTGCATTATGATTAGATTCAGATGTATACTAAGACAGAACTGTTGGGATTACCTGTAATGTGACAAGTTGATGATACACTCCCCCTTTCTGCATCAGCTGCTCATGGGTGCCCTGCTCTACGATCGCTCCTTCCTTGAAACCAGCAATTGTGTCTGCAGTTTTGATGGTGGAAAGACGATGGGCTACAACAACTGTAGTTCTTCCTGCTCTAGCCTGCAAATACATGAGCATGTGTAACTGGTTTATTTTTGCCATTCACAAATTTTGTCATTTTGTGCCCTTCTAACATTTGACCGTTATAATATTGGCCTTAACCATATCACGAGTCTCAGCAACATCACTCTCAATGTCAAGGAGTGAACTTTAATAACCTAACTGCATTACCATTATATATTCGATTTCAATTATCCTGATTTGGGCTTATTCACAAGGACATTACAATAGTCTCACTTCAGTCTCCAAAACTGACCTTTAACCTTTAATACTGAACTTCTAGCCTCATTAATTGCCTTAATTATGTAGCCTCATTCTCAGTGTTAAAGAATAACCTTTGACTTTTAAAGTGTACCCCAAATGTTTTGTTTTATTAAGCTATAGAATATTTCATATAATACAATAAAAGGCCAAGAAAGTGTGAACGTCACAGATAAATTTTCCAGTTATTGTTATTTAACTGAAATGCACATCTTTAACTCAGCGACAATTGCCTGGATATGGTTAGCCCACATCTGTGACATCACAAATTCAATGCTGTAAAAACAGCCTTATAGAAATATACCAGGAATCTTCCATTAAGTGCTTGTTTTGCAAGTTTTTTAGCTACTTATGGGATATATTCTGTTGATACTTACTAATGTAGTGTGGGTTATATTTTAAGTGCTACATGCACATAGAAATGACTTTTTACGAGTTCATTTATTTCCTTTTGAGCAGACAAACAATGTTCTGTATGTGGGTGTCTATTTGAATTACTAGTGACTGTAAATATTTTACTTTCTATTATCCAATTGGTCTCTATAAATTTTGACGCACCCTTAATTTACACAATGCAAAACAACCGCCTAAAAAATTCATAAAAATTAACAAAAGTGCACCTGTCACCCCTCACTTCATTTTAAATGGAGAAATACTCTTGGAACAAATACTCTAGTACAAAATCTATATCAATAATGAGCAACAACACATTTATATTCATGTGTGGTTATAAAAGCCAGAAAAAATGTTAATAAGTATGCAACATTTGTGACAGATGTTGTCTTAAATAGTTGTATTAATTAAAGATAAGGGAAGTTCGTTATGGTATTTTTATGCTTCATGCAAGCCAGTGATTTTAGGAAGTGAACACATGTTAATGTACTTAGCAAATTTAGGAATCTTGCAGAAGGAGAGCTGTCCGTTCAAGTCTCACAAAGTATCTATGAACCATCTAATCAGACTTACGCATTCATTCTTTGATATTTTTCTTCAAACTGGTCATGATATTAATTGTTTTCCAAATGTAAATGTAGAAGGCATAAAGTTGTAATAACTTGTGCCTCATCCCTTGTCCTATGAAATTCTGGCAAATTTCAAATGGCTGGATACCCTATTTGTGTTACTGCCAGAATAATCTATTTCCTCAAAACTTTAAAATATTCCTTCGCAATCTGTCATCACACAGCAAGACTGTTCTTGATCATGCCTTTTCCTTCCATGGTGGCTGCTACCAGTCATTGAACTTGTGACGTTGCGGGTCACCCTTAGGCTGATTAAAGTAAGATAGGTGAAATCTATTGGACCTTGGATTATTAACATTGAAACTATATTCATTTCTGTTTTCACTCAGGGTACACTATAACATTTCATTGACAGACAAACCTTATCAAGGGCCTCCTGTACAACAGCCTCACTCTCGGTGTCGAGGGCTGAAGTGGCCTCATCAAGCAAAAGAATTCGTGGATCTCTGACCAGAGCACGGGCGATAGCTACTCTCTGCTTCTGACCACCACTCAGCTGGGCTCCTCTCTCCCCAACCAGTGTCTCATATTTCTGTAAATTAAAATCATAAAACATCATCATTATCATAAATGTAAATATGATACCTGATTATGAATAGAGTTATCATGAGCACTACTGTATTTTGGCTCATGTTGGTGCTCATGAAGTTAAGTAGAATTCAAGTGTCCAAATCCATTTTTGGGACCATGATTTACAATTAACTTGGGACAAAAAGAAAAAAAAATGCAGAAATCTCTGCAATCACTTTAAAATTGTTAAGAGCTGGGAATGAAGATCAGTCAAGCAAATATTATACTTCTTTGTAATTCTTTTCTATAGATAGGAAAAAAAACCCCACACACACACTAATGTTAGGAGTTTGTACTGTATTGATTTTACAATAAGCCCAGAAAGCCAGACTTAATGTCAAGGTAACAGATTTGATAAAGCATTTGCAGGTATTTTCTTCCGAAAATGCAATCGAATATGGAGGGCTTATTACCAGACATAGGCTTATTGCCAGATAAATACAGTAAAATAAATATTTTTCCCAAATCTGAAAAGTTTACTGCGATTTAATTTTGCATTTTATTCAACGCCTATTCTGGAACTTATTGCCAAAATCTTAAAAACAAGCTTTAGCAGTCAAATCCATGGATTGAATGTTTCTATAAATAAATTAAAAACGCTTGCATTATTAATATACAGGCACTGTTAAGTATACTACCTCTGGAAGCTGCATTATGAAGTCATGTGCATTGGCCATTTTGGCTGCTGCTATGATTTGATCCTGGGTGGCCCCATCCCATCCATACCGGATATTTTCCTCAATGGTAGTTGCAAACAGGACTGGTTCCTGATTGACCACACCAATGTGTTGTCTAAGCCACTTCAGATTCAGGTCCTTTAGGTTTATACCATCGATCATTACCTGTAACACATAAACCATAGTGTGTGTGTTTAATAAAAACTATTTCTTCTGAACAACAGAGCCTATGAAGCATGCTGTCAGCTGTGCGACAAAGACTTTATAGTGACTATGCACACTGACTCGGTCCTTTTTTATGATCTCACCTTTAGAAAGTCCTAAGGTTCTCTACATGTACTAACCTGTCCACCCTCAGGATCGTAGAACCTCTGTAATAACTCTATATACTAACCTGTCCACCCTCAGGGTCGTAGAACCTCTGTAATAACTCTATATACTAACCTGTCCACCCTCAGGGTCGTAGAACCTCTGTATGAACTCTATATACTAACCTGTCCACCCTCAGGGTCGTAGAACCTCTGTATGACCTCTATATACTAACCTGTCCACCCTCAGGATCGTAGAACCTCTGTATAAGCTGTACCATTGTACTTTTACCACATCCACTGGACCCAACAAGCGCCACTGTCTGTCCTCTCATAATATCAAGATCAACCTTGTCAAGGACTTTGACCTCTGGTCGTGCTGGATAGCGAAATTCTATATCTTGAAATTCAATGTTTCCCTCTAAATGGTCAAGGGACTTTCCTTCTTCTGAACTGCTGTCAATGGTAGGAGTCTGTTAACAAATAAATTCTGTCAAAATTTTGGCCGTTGATGTTCAAATAGACTTTAAGCACTTTAGAAGCACTTTCATTCCGTTTCCTAAATTCAGTTTTTTCAGAACAATAGATTTTCTGGTTTTAGCAGACATAATATCAGGAAGCTTTTAATCTCATGATTTATTAGGAAGAATCCCAAAGTTCACAACAATTCTTTATGACTATTTTGGAAATATATTTCATAGAAAAGACATGTTATTTATTCTTGCACAAATCGTTCCCTACTGACATCCTTTACTTCACAGATAAATTTTGTTCTTGGTAGATTACCAAGTAAGCATTTACACATTAATGTCATCTCTCTCAAGAAAATATAATTTAAAGTAGGAAATGTGATATTCAGGGAAATGTGATATTAAGGGAAATGCAACTTTACTTGACACCATTTCCATGAAGATACTTATGAATCAAAGCATACACACAAATGAGTTTTATAAGAGGCAGGCTTTTAACATCAAGACCCCTGTGTCTGGCAAAATCACAAAATTTTGCAACTGATAAAAATATCAGTTACAATATATTGTACGTACAAGTTTTTATCAAACGTCAAAAGGACACTTAATGAATAAGGAACTTTGGACAGTCCTTAATTACCAGATCAATTAGCTGGTAGATTGTATATGCAGCAGTTCTGGCCTCAGTGAAATCTTGGAGATTAGGAAGTCCAGTTCCTAAAGACATTGCACCAATCAGCACAGAGAAAAACACCTGTAATACACATTATCCATAAATATATCAACAAGTTCAATTAATATACTACATACATCTATTAATCAGAGAAAGTTCATTAGTCTAAAAAATAATCAGGATATAAAAACAATTGTGGCTGAGTTGGATTGTGCCTTACAAGATTTAGAGTTATACACACCATTGCATGCGGTGACACTGAGTCAATTGGCTAGCTAGGATAGTTTGTTACCACTAGGTTCCATTTTGTAATACTGTGTATTATTAGGGAAGCTCATAACTCCAGTATTTTGTTACAGAGTACCCTGCACCCTGCTTGTTTTCCTATTTCGTCGCCATGTTGGCAGAAGCAGTTTAATTATGTCAGTCGACTTTTGATTGGTTGCCTATTCCAGGTGGAACAAATTGTTCACTTTCATATTTTGTTAGTCGAATCTCCTGGTTAGAGATCATTTTGGGTCTATAATGCTAGTATTCTCTCCTCTTTTAGTCATCAGCCGACTGTTAGTCCATGTTTTCAAGCGAGGTTAGCCTCCCTACCTCTCCGTTGCATCAGCGAGATGATCTTTTCTTTTAAGAATTATATTCTTTCCTGTCAGCGGGATAACACCTCTGTTTCCTCGCTAACTTCTCACTACCCTGTCCTGACAGCAAGATGTTGCTTTGCACCTATTACTTTTCTTATACCGTCCAGTCAGTAGGACGTTCTGACTTTTAATATTATGTCGTGTTGGTAAGAATAATACCAGTAGTTGTCAGGGGAAGTGGGTTGGCCTTATTTACGTAGGTAAGATTATGATAGAGTGGCAGTTGTGGGCCAGGTGATCCTTTACATACACGTACCCCCGCTGAGATATGCAGTGGAACAACTTAACAAGGGGGTGACTTTATATTTACATGTTGATACTTTAATATCCCTAAACTTGAGCTCAGTATTCTGGTGTAATACTTAACAGCTGTCATATATTTCAGGACACTCCAATGGCTATTTTTCTGTGGCACACCAGTTGTTAATCTATACCCAAGTTTTATAGTTTTACTAGTGTTATCTAGCTTCAGCTGGAATTTCATCAGATATCTATAAGCCAGAAGGCATTTTGCTAATCCTTACTTCTTTATAGTGCCAATTCAAGGGTCCAGTTTGAGTCGTCTGAAATTGTCCATCTTTAGAGCTTATGACTTTACCAGAGAGCTTTATATATTCACTCATTGTAAACATCATCATTGTTATCCATATTTAATTGTTAACTTAAACTTATTCTTTTGGTGGTCATTTCATTCTAAGCCATTGGCACTATGAACCTGGGGTAGTAGGTGTGGACATAACTTGGTGTTTCCTGTTTAACAACATTCAACATAGAACACAAAGCGAGTTGAGGCAACATCCTCTTGTGTTACAGCCCTTAACCCTAATATATAGTGAACCTAGATGAGGTAAAAACATGACTGTTAACCAAAAGAGCATGTTGTACTACTTAATTCATGTGTTTGCATCTAAATGAGACAGCTACATGTAGCTGTTCAACTGTCTTAAAGACTAAGAAGTTAATTATATGGCATACTACATATACATTTGAAAATAAAAGATGACAAACTTTACATGGATATTTAGAATGTACATCTGTAGTTTAACCTTGATAATTATCATTTTATTTAATAATACCATCAACATTTAATTGAATTTAAGTAGGAGTTTAATAGGCACTATTATTATCCTGTAATAAGCCCGTCTACTTCCACCATATTTTGAGTTGCAGGTTTGTGATAAGAGCAATTTTTCTAAGTCTTCAAAGATTTTTAAGATGTTGTAATGAATGCACTTGTAACTTACAATCAGCACTTTCCCAATGGAATAGGTGTCTGGTTCTTCCCGAGAGACTTTGGCTCCATACCAGAAGGCCAGAGCATACGCACAGAATATGACAAAGTATACAACACCCATGGATACGCCATTCCCTAAGGCCTTTTTGATACCAAAGTCGCGTGCCTCCGAAAGTGACTCACTATATCTGTAAAATTTCAACAATACCACTTGAGTAATAACAATCTTTATTATTGAGTCTACATGTGTCTGTTTAAAATGCTTTGTAAACCAGATAAAACTAATTTTAGAAAATTTTATTTAGGAAGAAATATCATATCTTATACTGGTATGTCACCTTCACAGTGATCTTGTACAAGTTTTTCTTTTGAAGATGGGAAATAATTCATCATTAAGTAGATGTACAGTTATTGAGAATAGTTCTATTTAAAAAAATAATATATATATATGTATATATAATGGGTGACTATGGACTGTAACAGTAAATGCTAGATTCTAACTCAGCAAATATGCTGATATGAGATGTTTACTATGAACATACTTTTGACTAGCTTTCTTCTCCCCACCAAATGCCACAACAGTTCTTATGGAGCTAAGCACCTCTTCTGCTATAGATCCAGCTTGAGCATAGGCAAGGAGCTGATTTCCTGTTACAGATGTGAGAATCTGTGCAAAGATACATATTTTAAATTCTTAATTATCATATTATGTCAGATGTGAGAATATGTACAGAGAAATGTCTATCTTAATCTCAAATATCCTAGGATATCAGATGTGAGAATCTGTACAGAGAAATGTCCATCAAATTCTCAAATATATCCTAGGATGTCAGATGTGAGAATCTGTACAGAGAAATATCTATCAAATTTTCAATTAAACTAGAGCATAACATTTAAGATATTCATACAAACTGTTCAGTATTTATTACAAGCACGTTTCCAAAATTTATATATGAAATTAGAATATTTCTGATGCTGTGTAGTTAACAATAATTTTTGGTGTAACTAGGTCTATATTGAACAAGAAAAAAAATTATTTAATCATTAAACCATCTTTGTATTTTTGTACTTACCTTATTGAAAGCAAATGCTGCAACCATGATAATTGGACAGACTGACAATATAACCAAGGTCAGTTTCCATCCATATACAAAGCCAATGGTTATTCCAGTCAGAAAGCTTGAGAAGAACTGCAGGAATGTTCCCAACTTGTCCCCTATGCCACTATGGATCTTGTTTATATCACTGTTATGATAACATCAAATATTCAGTTTAAGTTTTACAAGCCAGATACAAAATCTCCTTTATAACAGAATGACAACAGATTATAACATTATGGCTAAGGTCATCACTTGAGGTCAATTATGAGATAACTGCATGTTTTTGCCATTAATCTGGGCACTTCAGCAATCTCAAGATCAGAAAATTCATTAAATAAAAAAAAAAGAAAAACTGCAAATAAAATATGTAGTAAGATATTTTTTTTGACAAAGTCTAAGATTGAATTCTTGTAGAGATTGTTAGAGATTAAGTGTTCTAAAGTCAATAATAGGAAAAATACATGTATAATGTGTGTAAAACTTACTCTGATAGCCTCGTGTTCAACTGACCGGAGTCATGGGTATCAAACCAAGTCATGTCTTGTCTCATCACATTACGAAAAAACTTTTTTCTGATCCTGTGGCTCTGTCTTTCAGCAGCTAAAGACCAGAAGGCCACCTGAGCATAACCAAGAAGGATAACTCCACAGCCAATACCTGTACAAGTAAATCTGATACATATCATTCTCCAAAAATTACTGTCCAATTTTAAGTTTTGATAGAAAACTGTTACTTGCAATACTTATACATTGTGTAGCAAAAGTTGCAGTTTATCATTAAAAATAGATATGTAAATATTTTTATTAACATATCTGAATTTCAAAAAGTGATGAGCTCTGAAAAAATTAGGAAATTTCATCGAAATCAAAATCACATTGACACACATAATGTTCATTCCCTCAAGACTTGATGTAACCAATTTTACTGTCAAATGTCAGTCAATGTGGTAAAGTTACAGGACAGAGGTGATGGGAGATAATTATCTCTTTACAACAGTATATTCTTGTTACTTACCGACATAATATAGAGAAAATGTTCTCATTTGTCCCAGAAAGTCTGTGTCTATCTGTTTTTGGATGATATTAGTGTCCACAGTGCTGTAGTTATTCCCAATATCAGTTATGTACGGGCTACAAAATAAAAATCTAGTTATTTCCCTTCCACTGCAAAAACGTTCACTAAATAATCACATCTAACACTTCAACTTGAAAATATTTTAAAACAAAGCAGTGCTTTTCTGGAATTTATGTTTGGGTTCAAATTTTCTCATCCCAATTTTTCTTGTAAATTATTTGTTTTTTGTGTGTTTTTCCTAATGATGTAATCAAAATTCAGAATTCTTGAGAAAAAAAACTTTTAATGCATGGGAATGAAATTATTCCAGCAGATTATGGTCTGAATCCCCTCACTTCCTTTCAATTATCCACTTTTGCAGGACAAAACATCTACATTCACAATTTCTGCCAGATGGCAATTTGCCAAATGACTAGGAAAACCAGTGCAGATACAAATACTTAAATGTCAATGCTTTTTTTCACCAGTGGGAGATTTCTGCCTCATTTTGGGAGGATAATTGATGAAACATGAAAGAAATCTTAAGAGGTTTGAAAATTTGGCTTCAATATGAAATAATTGACATTAGAAATGGGATCCATTATCAGCCTTAAATATCCCTCCAGAAAAATACCAAGATTTCTTTTTCTTTTTTCAAAACAAGAATATAGTAAGAACATATTATACCTAAGAAGGCTTGGGTTGGCAATACAAGCTGCTTGTGTAAGCCCAACATTTGTCAGGAAATCAGCAATCACTTCAAGGATGGCGGTGTACTGCCCTATATCTACAAATGAATCCGTCATTGACCCAAAGACAATGATCATGGCTGGCATCCCTGCACCATGAGCCATGGCCCCTATAGATCCAATCACCATCAACAGCCTATCCCAACAGTCTGAGAAACGAAACTGGAAACAGAAATTAATATTGCTTTTATAATGTTCAAATTGTTACATATCATAACATGTTAATCATATATTATACAACTTGTCTTTGGGTGAATTAAATGATTAACCAGAGAAAGAGATATTTCATGAGGCCGAAGGAAATGCCGGTATCGCTTTCTCTGGTTGATAAACCATTGTATTCACCTAAAAACAGGTCAATAACTGTTTTATTATATGACTTTCCCCCAATATTTTCAATCTCATTTCCTGTCATTTGAGACCAAGGATATATACAATATTCTACATTCCCAACTAGAATGAAAGAAAAACAAACCAAAAAACATTATGATATCAATTTTTTTTTTATAGTTTAACATTGCCATGAATTCAACATACTGTAGTTGATAAGAAATACATGTACATGCTGTTGCATAACACCATTTATCGTTTTTGTCTCAACATAAACTTTCAACAACAATCTGTTCAATTAAGCACTCAAAATGTGTTTGCAATCGACTGGGTTGATTTTTTCCAATATATATACATGAAAAATCTTCACTTCTATATATGTTGCCTTTCTGTCATTTTTTCCCACAAATTTAAAAATTGTTCCTCATTCATCACGGCAAATCTTATGCTGTTTGCAATTTCGTCTACACATGTCACTGGCATGTGCTGTTCTGATGTCATGGAAAGTCCCTTGTTACTATATTTGGGTACAAACTGGTATTGTTGAATTGTTATATCCACCCAGAACACAATTATGACATCAAAGAATGTCCCTTGGTTCTATTTTTTGTACGAACTAGTCTTGTCGGATTGATTAAGGGTTGTTATAATGTTTGAGCAATGTTAAAATGTAGTATAATAATTGTATATATTACACACATTGTTCTCTAAACCAGGAAGCTAGGAAATTCTATCAAACACTGGAGAAATTAAATATAAATATATCAGATACCAAAGCTCTTATCAGTATACCAGTAGTAAAATCTCAGGATCTTAAATTCTTACACCATTCTTGTTTGTTCATTAAGAAGCAATCAGAACAGAAGAGAGCTAGGCTTGCTGAAAGTATGTTCCAGTTTAATTTGTCTCATTAAAAGAACAATAATCATGAAATCAAACTGAATCTGTACAAATAACTATGGGACTAGGATTAAGTTTGATAAAAATATGAACATTTACCTCAAAAAAGGGAAGAAGATGCCCATATTGTAGTGTAATACAAGGGTTTACAAAGCAATATCTATCCTTTGACAGGTAATATTTAAGCCTGAGAGGAATTGGCCAAACATGACTTGAGATATAATGTCAAAACCTGATTTTGATTTATTCCATATATAGTAACAATGACCTTGACTTTGTGACATGCAGTCTGGTGGTGAAAAATAATCAAAAACCAGAAGTTTCTCCAAGAAAGCACTGCATGAATGGACCCAGGCTGTTTGGATATGTCAAACAGAATTTAGAGATATTTTACAGAAAACAATTTTTTTCTAAATAATGACAGTGACCTTGACCTTGACATTCAGACTGTAAGACAAACCAAAAGCAAGCAATTTTCTTGAGGAAACAACTGATGACATACGAGAGATATATATAATGGCAGTTAAAACATACCCTTCTATCAGGGGATAAGAAATAGCTTAGTGAATTGAAGTAAAAACATAATGAACCTTGAACCCTTAATATTCCAACATCTAACTTCATTATCTAACATAACATTAATGATTTAATCCTACTTAACACCTATGACACTTGTGAAATATATATCAATGAAAACCTGTATATTCTAACATCCTGTCTTATCTGACAAATTTGTTGGAAATCCTATCTGATGTTGAAATCAATACACAGCAATAAGTCTGATGTTTTACCATAGAGTTTAGTTAATACCCTAATGAGCTATGAGCATTTTATTGACTGAGATTACTGGTTGTGTAAAATACAAACTGTTTCAAAGAATCCAACAGCATTCGTTGGCTCTTCTTTTTTCTCCCCATTTTCTGATCCTGCTGCTGATCCGGTGTCAACCTCTGGTCCGTCTAGTCCAGACTTTTTCACCACGGCTCCATTCACTATTTCCTTATCAGTTCCAAGGGGTGCAACTGCTTTAAAAGAAAACATGAATCTATTAATTGTAAAGTTTCGGGATGAATTGAGGTCAAAAAGCTAAACAATCACATGAAAAATTATTACAGACATTGTATATTAGTTTTGTTTACATTCAAACACTACTACATACCTTTTGTGATGACCTACACATATCTACTTGTATCTAACTTTAACATTGTATTAACCACAAAATTTTACAAAACACACTTGTACAACAGTAGCGTAAAATTTATAAATTTTTTAATTCTGAAAAAAAAAATGCTGAAAATTGAATGCAGAATTGATTATGACATAATAAGCATAATAGTATTGTGATATTTTTTGTAATACTCCAGAACACTGTGAACAATCTCTTGTGGGACTATTACTAATACAAGTGTTGATTTATAATGAAGCCTACACAAAATTAAGCTGCAAAATATCATCTGATGACAAACTAGTGTCAGATATGAAATGGATGTGTTAATTGTGAAAATTACATGATCGATTGTGATATTTATGATAGCAAGTTAGATATTTCAAAGAATAAACAAACAAAAGTCAAGGAAAATCGCTGTTCTTATGGGAAAAACAAATTACAAATTTCTTGTCTTCAAATCATTTCTATCAGACACAAGTCAGTTTTGCGCAAAAGAAAGTTAATTCCTGGGTTTAGGCATCTGGAAAATGTGTGTCCACTGTTAATGTCACATTCTGCTTATTATCACATTTTCCCCAGACAAATAAAACATGATCTTAATAAGATTCCAATGTACACAAACATTTTTTTTTCTCAAATCCTCTGAATTTAGCAATCAAAGTACTAATGATTAAATGAAAAACATGTGAAAAATTATCATTATTTATAAGTTTGATGGTGACCAACCTTTGCTGGAGTGATATATAGCAGGCACTGGGGCCCTGCTCCTGTTGTTACTGGTAGTGCCATCAAACAAGGGAGTGTGATCAAGCTGGGAAGACTCTAAAGCAACAGAGCACATGCAACACACACAACTTCATAAGCATATCAGCACTGGAACCTTGCTCTAAAGCAAATGATCAACCTCACATTCTGTATTACCTGAAATAAGCTGAAATTATAACTCCCCCGTTTTTTTTGCCCCGCCTTTTTTTTTTTTTTTTTGGCGCATTGTAATAGTCATGGTCAGCTTTTTTCTAAGACAATATAACATGATTCTAGATGGTTCACCTCTACCACCTGCAATGGAAATTTGGCTTGATGATTGATGAGATCATCCAAAATCAGTATCCACTGTCTTTGTGTATCAATGTTAAGTCCAATGGTCTATGTTAAAGAAATATCTGATGTCTGATTACCAATATATCAACAATGCCACTGAAGTATGCTGCAACAATACTTATCCAATGGAAGTAGAATCATTGCATAATTATGTTATCAGCCACATAATTTGGTCTTGATACATTGCCTAACCTACCTACAAGTCCAGGAGCAAATGACACATACATTTATAAAATGTCCCATTAAAATTGGGAAATTTTATATGATATAACACATAGGAACAGTCTCGTCATTTGTTTTCCAATAGAAAATGTCCAGCATGTGTCAGTGGTAGGTTAAAGTGTTTTTTTTTCTCCAAAAGGTTAGCAAATCCAATTTCCTTTATGTGAAGTAGCGACAAGAGGTCCAAGGGCCTTAACGGTCATCTGACATAAAATACAAGATTTCAAATTTTGAAAATGTGTTTTCAAGATGGTGGCCATGTTGGATTTTGGACCAACCCGAAATGAACAAACTTTGGTCAGGATCATGTCACCATCATTTCAGGTAAGTTTCAGCTCAATGAGACATGTAGAACTTGAGAAGAAATTGAAAATGTTTACGACGGACAACGCCAGACAAAAGGCGATCGCAATAGGTCATCCGACCCTTCGGTCAGATGACCTAAAAATTCAACATAACGACAATACAAACAGAATCCGAATGTTTTGGGATTTCAACTAATGAGACCTAATATTTACAATGTCAAATTTAATGACATTGAAAGTAAGCCTCACCAGTTTTACAACCAATCAAAGGTCAATGCATATAATATAAGTAATCTCTTGGATGGTGAAAATGCCAAAAGGCAAACTGATACAAAATTTCTTAAAATATTTCAATCAATCTACATGTACATGTATAGGGGATTTGTCTTTTGCATTAAATGGTTTTAAAAGCTACTGAGATCACGCAAAAATAAACTTGATGTGTGACAATTTAGAAATTTTGCAGAACTTGACAAAAACATTAACTAACAACTTAAAGCAAAATGGACTACATTTTCTCAATTTGGATGGTATATTTTTGTGATAAAAAGGAGAGGAATAGAAGGTTTGTTGAATTTGTTTTCTCCCATTTTAGGCAGGGTCTTCATGTAGTAGTTGGTGGCTACCTTACAGAAGGTAGCCCTGTTGTAGGCTTGTCATATGCCATCCCGAACAAGTAGGGTGAAATATTTGCCAAAGGACACAAAACCAAGACAACAAAAAACTAATCCATTGCTCAGATTCTTGTGCAACTGCCATAGGTAGAGAGCATAAATCCCTTGTAACTTTATCTGAGGTAACGCAGACTAATCATCTAGGCAACTGGGGTTATCGCTGCCTCAGAAATAAAAGGCTTAATTCATGTTGATTATTTTCAAACATCAACAATCAAAATATAAATTTAAACATGAAGCCACACAAAGCTTAAGCATAAGCAATTAAGTCACATTTCTATACTGTTTTTCACATTTTTGCCATAGTGAGATGGACGGAATCCTTGATTAAAAACAAAAACAGATTGTTTTTTTGTCTTGTGTATTCAGCATCTTGGCTGTAGTTTTATATGTCAACATTATGTATCAATTTAAAAGATCAATATTTTT